AAAAAGATGTGAGCAGAGATAAACAGCGAGGGCTATGATCGAAATACCCTGGGTTCCAGAGGATATTTTTTTCTTATCGACACTACTGGTTCGCGGCGAAGCCGCGTCAACGAGGCGCAAAGCGCCGAGGAGAAAAAAATAATCTCGTTTTTTTTTCTTCTCGCCGCTTTTGTTTTGCGTTAACGCGGCTTCAGTATCGATAAGAAAAAAATATCCTCTGGAACCCAGGGTATGATCGAAAAGGCTGTTTTACTTAACTTTTTACATGCAAGTAACAAACCAAAGAATCAATCGAAGAGTGTACAGACAGAAAATGCTTGAAACAGCGTTTCAGAGTTTCTTGTTTTCTAAATTTTCTGGAGGAAGCCCCCCGCCCCCATCCCCTAATGGCTCGCACCTTCGGTCATCGCAGATCTTGCCTCGTCAATGCCTAAAGTCTGGATACAGCCTTGAGTGGTTAGTTATTGTGGCTCCACAAGGCCATTTCAGGTGACTCAGATGTGAACGGCTTAAATGGAATGTAAACTAAGGCTTGAAAGACCACTGCAAAAACCGTGAACGATCAATTTGGATCAAACAAGAACGTGATCAGTCGAAAAAGATAAAAATAGAACTGAAGTCAAAGAGACTACTGCAAATTAAGTCTGATCAAACAACGTGTAAAAGGCTGAGGTACAAAATATTTCGACTGGCCAATACCAGTCTTCATAATGTTAAATGGCTTAACCCTAACTAGCGCATCTTTGCCTTGCTAAAACAAAAGTCGCCAGATCACAGCTAAAGAACAAAAATTCAAGAAGCTCAAATCGGGCATCACCTGAGTTCGACCCATATCGGATAAAACTACGTTCATCTTTTTTCAGCCGTAAGACAAAACTGATTTTCCCTGTGTTAGATCACTGTTAGATGGGTCTTCTTCAAAAAAAGAAAAACACGACTTCGGACACCTCTTAAAATTGTCCTGTCCAGGCTGAAGCCCGGGGGGTACCCAACAAATGTTTATACGGGGAGGCTCCACCCCATTTTTCACGAAAAAGGTACCCCTTTCGGCTTTCGTATACCTTCTATTGACAAATGGTACCCCTTTCACAAACCTTGTTTAGAACTTTGCTTAACTGCTGTAAATGCACTGCCTTTTAAATATAGGAATCAATCGCAAAAATAGAACGTTTTTTCGACTTTATAAAGCTGTAATAGCGGAGTTGGCCTCTCTTTTAGACAGAGGAATGCAACGAGTAAATTGGCTGCCACCAAGGACTATCGTGGCGCATGTGTTTCTTAAAGTTATATTTCGGGGTTGTCCAATTATCCATAGTCTCTCTGATGGAGCAATGTTGGAGAGACTGGTGAATGCCACATTATGATGCTACAGCTAATGCAAATACAATACACGAATAGGTCTATTTGTTTTCCAGGCCTAATCTACTGTGATCGAACATGATTGCTATTTTTCGGTGTACAAATAACTTGATGTAAAATTTGTTTCACTCTTGGACGGTCAAATTCTGATTTTTCTCTAAAATCACTCAGCCTTTGCCTCAAACGTCAAATGAATGTGCCCTAATCTGTGGATTACAAGTTTATTGTTTGATTTAAATTATGAATTTATTAACGGGAGCTTCGCTTTTAGCCCTGGCTAAATCTATATATTATTCATCTCAGTGTGTGTTAGCCCTTTTGGGCCCTTTTACAGGCCCAAATGACAGATTTCCCTTCCCTTTTATATACTTCAACAAGTGAAATCCCTACCCTTTCATATACCTGAAGCCTGAAAAAGGTACCCCTTTCGGGCGGAGCCTCCCCGTATAGGCCATCATAGGGAGTGCCCCCCCCGCCCCCCGGGGAGCTGACGTCTCCTTTCTTGGCAGGTGACTTCTCACGATTTCCCCCAAATGGGGAGCTAGATCCGTAAACAAATGAAAGACCCCACGTTGTGTTAAGGACAATTAAACTTACCAGACAACAATTTTGGGTCCAAAACAATTTCGCAAGGCTTATGTGGTTTCTGTAAGAAAAAGGTAGAGAATTACTTAGCCCGCGTGCGTTGACTGTGTTGCAGCCGACCCACGCATCTCCAGACCATCTGTATAGTACAGAAGGTTAAGAGTGTCTGCGACGCAGGCTAAGAATTACTTAGCCTCCATAACAGGCACTTTATGAGGTGAATGCAGCATTTACGCAAAGCGCGAAACGTGGGCGAAGCGCGAAACGAGGGGAGAAGAAAAAATACGCCACTTGCACATCTCCCATAAAGCACCTTATTTGCCCACCGAAATTTTGCATAACCTTTGTTTTCCATTTCTCCCGGGTATTACAGCCGTCCCAAGGAAAATTGAAAACGATGCTTACGCAAAATTTTGGGAGGCAAATAAGGTGCATTATGGGAGATGTGCAAGTGGCGTATAAAGCTTTATTTTTCTCCTTCCCTCGTCTCGCGATTCGCGCTCGTCCCACGCTTCGCGCAAAATGCAGCGTTCGCCTCGCTTGGCTAATAAAGCGCCTGTTATGCAGGCTAATAATTACTTCACTTGACAAAAAAAAAAATGTCTGGAACGAAAACAAACGATCACCCCGGGAAGCAGGCCCCCTGGGGTTTTCTTGCAAAATACTCCTAAAAACAGCTTTGCTATTGAGAAATAATTGCGTGAAGCATTTTGCAAAAAGGTTTAATTCTTCACAGACTGAACAGAAATCAATTACGAGAAGTCTTAGCATGAAAGAGATGGAAAGTTTTGAAAACGTGCAGAATGTGCCACATTTTGTTCTAGAACAATGATGTTTTCCCTGGGGTCATCTCATAAATTTTGGATAGGTACCGCCCAGAGTCTTAAAACCTGACCCTATTTAAGGATGAAACAAACGAAAATTGACACTCTATTAACGACCCACACTTCAAACAGTCAGCTAGCCCAAACAGAGGTCCATTCTCAAAATACCTAATACGAAATAAACCGTGCTTATGGTTTGATAAGGATCCCGAGATGGATGGTTATTATTTTCTCTCGGTGCCTCCTTGACGCGGCTTCGCCACCAACCATCAGTATCCATAAGAAAAAAATATCCTCTGGAACCCAGGGTACAAAAGGTGCAGAATAAAGTACAATGTAGTTCAAAGTAGAGAGTCTAGACACCTTTTGTACTTGCTTTGGAGGTTACTGACAAAGGTTTCACCCCCAGTCCAACAAAATATTAAAGATATACTTCAAGTTGTTCCTAATTAAGTCAGTAAAAAGGTGCTTAAACAATCCTACCTGTTAAATAGAGTACAATTTATGCTTTTTAAAGAGCCCCATTGAACTGTGATTGTCAAACAAAATGCTTTTTTAGAATCAAATCCTGGAAAATTGACATCAATAAAAGTAGAGGTTATCTTCAAGAATCATGTTTTTTTATAAGCCTTTTTTATAGGTTTCTCTTCATTTTAATAGAGAAAACACAAGAAAGTGGATTATGGGGGGGGGGGGGGGGGGGGGGGAAAAAANCCTTCTGATCCAGATGCAAAATATCAGCTTGCGAAGTTCGGGCATGTGCAGAAAGCAAAATTTCGAGATAGTTTTTGGGTTTAAAAGTGACACAGCAGTCTTGACTTTTACTTTTCGCTTTCTCTCCTCCCTTCTTCTTCACTTTTCTTGCCTCATTTTTTTTCTCTTGCTGGGCAATTAGTAGGCTTCATTTTAGTGGGAAGACTTTTTAGGAAAGCTTTTAGGATCTTAGGATTAGGTGAAAGGAAAGGTAGGTGAGCAATGGAACAAGATTTTCATGGAGATTTTCAGGTCAATGTCACGTGGTTTTTTGCGTCTTTCTCCGGTGTCCTTCAATGAATTGTGCTCATTCTGGTATGGTTTGAAAGATCTTTTCACTCTACACAAGTTAGCGAAGAAAGTTGTCCTTGACCGTTAAAACTGATGACGTCACAAAGGGTAGAAAGGACCTGGATCCACACGGGTGGTTACGGGCGGTTCAGGGGCAAATGGGTTAACTTGGATCAATTTACGTTTGTAAGAAACTGCCCACCTATCCCTCCCCTAAGCCAACATTTTACCCTAAGTGAGAAGTGATAATGTTGACTTAGGGGAGGGGTGGGTGGTCAGTTTCCCAGAAAGCTAAATTGATGCATTAATTCTTCTTAATCTTTAACTAGTTTGTTACTCTCTTACTCTTGTGTCATGATGCTCACTCCCAATGATGATACACTGTGATTCAGTTTCACCAAGCTATAATCTCAGTCTTCTCAGCTTACTTTCCCTTCTTCTCCAGATAATACGGAAACGATTTTGCTGTTTCTTGTTGGGCTTATGTCTTTACGGCACATACACAGTGTTACTAATACATGTCCAAGATCAGATCTACGAAGGAATTCCACAAATCTGCAAAATCACGGCACAGACGAGAGGAGAGCTCACTTTCCAGGTTACTACTGTAGCGGTACACAAAAATTAGATCACTTCTGACATTTTTCATTGGAGGCTACCTCGAAAGAGAGAGAGAGAGAGAGAGTAAACCCCTTTACCTTACTAACACATTTTCACCAGGCCTTGACAGAAAATGAAGGATGATTGTGATTGTATACAACTCTTGTATTCTAAGTGCTGTTGCTTGATGAAGCCTGAAGAGAGATCTTTGTTCCTGTTGTCTAACAATAATAGTTATTTCCCACAGCTACAGGTAATTAGTTTGGGTTCTCGTAGGCAAACTGACATAGAAGAGAAGATAGAACTCATAGGACAAGCTACACATGGGGGACAAATTAATGTTAACTTACATTGACTCCCTCAAAAGGGCCACTGGTCTTGCCTTCTTGGAAGAAGAATTTCAAGTCTCCTTGGGCAAAATCACATGAAACACCATGGTCCGAATGGGAGGCTTTTAATTAATGCTGATGATGATGATGATGATGATGATGATGATAGCAAGCTTCCTAGCCACGGCAAAATAGGAAGATAGAATGTTTTAGCTTAAAAGTAGGGTGGGGGATTCACGTCTCTTGCAATGATAGAAGTTCACAAAGTGTTTCCCATTTTAGGAGAGATACAAACAAGGCTTGGGTGAGCCTGAGAAATCTCAAACAGTTTTGCCTTCTGAGAGTCCTGCAAAGACCTAAGTTTCATTTCTAAAACTTGTTTCCTTTGTTTCAATCTCTCAATTTCCTCAGATGCCATTGATTTTTTAATAACCTCTTTAGATGCTTGTCCTGTTTTCAAATCTCCTTGGGTTAGCTTTTTAAAACAAAGAGAAGAATCCTTTGATTTTAAATTCTCACATTTATCTTGACTACTGGTAGATGTTGAGGATTTCTGAACCTCTTTAAACTCTTCGAAAAGCTCTTTATTAAGTGATGATAAAATTTCTGCTAGTTTCTCATGTCCTTCTTCAGAAGATTGAAGACTTGCTTTGATTTTCTTCCATCTTTTGGAAACCTTCCTATACACTGGCTCTTGCGCATTTAAGATTTGGGAAAGTTCAACTTGGCGCTCTTTGGCCTTTTGTAAAGTACTGCTAGGCTTAAAAAGCTGATTATCTGGAAATCTGTTAGTGTTTTCAATTCCCTGTTCCATTTCAGTAGCATTCTGTATTTTTGCATCCAAAACACTTTCCATCCATTTCCAGAATGTAAGCTCATTTGCCGACCAGGAAACAAGAGCCTTAGCATAACTGCAAAACCACTCCAACCTTTGCTGATATTTTTCCATCTCCCGTGGATGCCGCATAAAATAAACATCTTGTGTTGAGAAATGGCTTGAGCTGTGGGATTTTGCTGCTTTGGGAATTGAGTGTAACTTACAAACTATTTTGGTGTATTCACTTCTTGAAGCCAGAAGGTTTTTCAGTGAAGAGTCCAATCTATTGTACTTGAGTATCAAACGATCAGCAACATCAACAGCATCACAGTCCTTTTTCGTTGGTTTCTCTGTTAAGTGATCAGGTGCCAGTGGCAAGGGTATTTTTTGAAACAATGAAAAGTCTACAGGAGGATCTTCAAAAATCAAAGGTTTGAGTTTGTTTATAAATTTCGTAACAACATCTTCTTTTGCCATCAGCCAACCTAAGGCTAACATTAATTCTCGGCTGCCATAGGACATGTCCTCTGGAAGCTGAAAGAACTCATTTACTCGATAGCCCTTGTGGAACATCACATGTTTACAGAACTTCGCAACATTATGATGGCGTTGATCACTTGGTTTTAAACTTTCTGCGGTGAGAACTGTATGGAGTGTCATCCATAATGAGTCTGTCGCTTCTTTTTTGTCAAACTTGGCCAAACGAAAACTCTCTGCAGAAATCTTACCGGGGCAGTGAGTATTGAGGACAGTGCAAAGCGCTTCAATTGTCTCTCGTATTTGAGCCATTTTAAAGGCAGAGTCTTTCAAAAAGACGCAAAGACGTTAACTTGTCCGCCATGTTGTTCTGTTGACGCATAGGTAATAATGAAGGTCAGCTGTACATTGATAACGCGGGCTCGCAAAAAGCTTTTGCGATGGGTACCACCCCCAAACCTGAGTTCTAACAGACAATATTCTGGCGGGAAAATAAGGCGAAAGCCATGGACTAGCGAGAGGGAAATATGTAAGAGAGATACTAAAATTTTCAAATTGGACCTGATCAAAGGTTAGTAATGAATTTCAATGTACTCCGACTAATAAGCTCGACTAAGCTGCTAATTGCTTGCAAGAGAATAAAAAATAACTGTTTTGATAAATTTCGGCAAAATAAAGAAAAAAAAGGGGAAAATCAAAACAATCCTACCTGTACAGAGGTTAACCAACAACGAAACACCCCTGGGTTCCCCCTTAGGGTTCCCCCCAGAACAATTCCCAGATTGGCTCGTCCCCAGTTTCCACTCAGTCGAATCAGTCATGGTTGCATTTTGTGTTTGCTTCAACGGTTGGCGGTCTTTTACAAACTTCATTTATAATTTATAACGGGGAAGACAGATGTTTTCCTTTATAGAACCATTATTTAGGATATTCCTGCAGCACTAAGAAAAACAAAACTGAAAGAAACTGCTGTGCGTCTTGTTCCTGGTGTGAGAAATAGCGATTCCGCCATTCTTGGAAAGAGACTGCGTGAACTCATGGTGACATTTTTCATCTTGTGCCGGCGCAAATAGTGACTTTTACCCTTAAAAAGGTTTTAAAGTCAACCGTGAAGATGACTTCCCATCGTTATGGTGAAATTACTGGACTAAACAGCTCATTAAGTGAGAGGCAAGACTCGATGTTTGATCGCTATTTGGAGGAAATGAAGCCATTCGTTCTTCGGCTGCCTCACAAATCAGGTAACCTAACACAAGTGCACGATATACAATTCAGTTGCTAGGCTTTTAAGAATATTGTTACGTTGGCAGTTTGCTCTCTTTGTTTTAAGTGGTGTTGTGATGTTTTGTTAAACATCACAACAAGGTCTCTCCAGACTTGTAAGAGAAGCCATCGACAAAGATCACAAGCAAATGTTACAGGGTTTTAAAACATTATAAACATTGGGCTTAAAGCTTAAGCTTTACTTTAATCTCATAACACCTGATAACACCCAGGACAAAAGGCATAATTAATATAACCTTGTATACGATCCTAAACTGCGTTAATCGTCATAATTTAAGTGAACTAGTTTTTTCGAACGTTTCAGATCGACCAGGGTGTTTGGGTAAATGGTGTATGTTTTTTAAATACATCATTTAACTTGAATTAATACTATATCTTTAAGGTGAAATACAGCTAATTATTTTGGGCTTCACTGTTGTGTTTTTTCAGAGAAATTTGGCAAACCTCGCCTATCAACAATTTTTTCTTTTTATTTCCGGCTGTTTTTTTTGTTACACCATTGTTACTTCCTTGCCAACCTTGACCTTATATTAAAGTTTTGTGCTTTAAGAATGAAAATATTGTTATCTGTACCTTGTCCTGTGGTTCTCAGTTCCTAACATGGTAGCAACTATAGCGGAAAAAGGCATCTGCTCTTGTCGAAACACCTTAAAAAACAGGGCATACACACTGTAACACAATAGGCACCCTTGAGGATCAACATAGGTTAAGTACTTTTAGCCTTATTTTCTTTTTGACACCCTCCACTGTATAGATCTATCCCAATTAATGTTTTCCCAATATATTATTCATTCTGACAGATAAATTTTCTTAAAAATAGAGAAAATTTTATGCAACTACAATGAAAAGTAATGAACAGAAACAGTTCAGTGTGTGTTTCCCCTGGGAACTGTTAGCTGATGTAAGCAATTATCCAGGCCTTATTCCTAATGAGTCGTCTACTTATAACTGTCAATCTTCATTTGAACCGAGAATTTTGATTGTTAGTTCAATTCCTTTCTGGTTAATAAAAGGCTTTGCAAAAAGATAAGCAGAATCCAGCTCAGTATTAATTCTAACTGTAAATCTGACTTAGGCTTAAATAAAATTATTGATTTTAAGATATCGTCTGGGCTGGGCACATTAGAAGTTTGTCTAGACAGGGACTTGTATGCGCACAATCTGTAACCATGTTAGTTTCTTGAAGTGCAGTACTACTTGTAATCACACATGAAGGAAATAATAATATATTATTGAATTATGAAAAAAGAAGAGATTGGTTAATCTTCGGTCCAATCAAATCACAAGCATATAGTATCACAAGAACAGTGTATGGGTTTAACTGTTTAATCAACTAAAGAAATGATGAGATTTGTGTAGGAGACATGCTAATATCAGCAGAATCATTGACGGAGATCCTTCCTTTGTCCTAAAACAGAGTTTCTTAAAATGTATAATGAAGCTTAATAACAGTTGAAACATTCATTGTAACAGAGAGACAAAGAGTGGCATTATGGATCAAAAAGCTTTGTGAACCTCCTGGACCAGGCACAAGCGGAAGGTAAGTAGACAGAAACACTTAATATCAAAACCTAGCTTTGATTGTTAATGTCTGCATGAAACTGTCCTGGATAGGGATAACTTGCAGTCACAAAGCAGAAGTTAAACCCAAAATCTTGAAAAAGTTTACTCAAACCAGTCTCCTTTCAAATCAATTTTCAGTAAATTTTAACTACCAGCTCAAACTCCTGCTAAGTTGAACTTTTTATGCCCCTTGGGAATTTCAGTTAATAAGGTTCTACTCTATCTAGAGCTAAAACAACTATTTTAATATTCAGACTGATATTGGGCAAATTACTGCCCTTATTGCCTTACTTGCTTACTATAGGCTCCCTACTGTGGAGACCCTAAGGGCCAGATATTTAAACAGAGTTTAGCTGGTGTTTAACAAAACCACATTCCAAGCAATTTTCAGTTAGCCAAATACCTTTATTAAAACATGTTTTGTGTTTATGGCGTAGAATAGAAAGCACTACTTGTCTTCTTAAAACAACCTGCTAGGGAAAAGATCTGAAGGTCCAAAGATTTCCTAAACCGTGGTCTAAGTTAGACTTTGTTTAAATAACCGACCCAAAATTTCTTAGATTCAGACCTTTGGCTCACTACATTTTTTCCTAAAGCATAGCCTTGTACACTGTATATGACCTAAAACATGAGTATTGACATTTCTCGATCTTCCTCACACAGAAAAAATCGTAACCTGTATGCACAGTTGTTGCTTCATATGGTAAAGCGTGGCCTTTTAGAAGATCCTTTTACTAGAAGACCAGAGGCGGGACCACTTCAGCCACTGCCATCTTATATGGTATAAAATATACAACATGTACATATTCTAGTTAAAATGAAACTTAGGTTGAAATGGTTCTTACCTACAGTCTCAGACAGAAATAGTTGGGACACTTCCGCCAAATGCTGTTTTTTTTATTGTCCTCCCAATGTTGTGTATCGCAGTTAACTCACCAAATCTTGCACACCAACATTAGGAGGGTAAGAAGACAGTGAAGTGTCCCAACAGTTTTGCTTGGGACTCAAGGTTGATTCTCAATATTCTTTTATCTCCTATGCTGTAAACCTTAGGAGACAGAAAGAGGTGAGAATCAAAAGCTTGGTAATCAAGGGAAGAATGTGGGATTGCATGTAGATCAGGAGTCACTGAGAGCCTGACTCCACTCTCCTCTTCAATAATTTCAAACTATATTAAGGGTAACAAAGTAGTAAGTTGTGCTTCCAGTGGAGCCAAGTGCAATTTTTTGTTGCCAGACAGTTTTGTACAAAGGGTCATCTGGTCAATAGTGCATGTCAAATTTGAGTATATAAGAATAAGTAAATTGGTGCAAAATCTCATTCTTTTTGTTGCAGTCCATATATCTTGATGAACCTGTAAGTAGAAAAAGTGCCACTGTGGAACTTGAAGAGGTAATAATTATGATATTTTATTTACATTACTTTGTTCTGTTTCTTATTGTCAACACATGTATATGTTGTGGTTCAAAATTTTCCTACTAGTTAAAAGTAAATGGTTTTCAAACCATGTTAATTTCATTTTCTTCCTCTGAAATCAGTTTCTCTAGAATGGACAATAACTTTTGAGCAAAGGAAAATTTGAACCCTAAAAAAGTCTGGTACATGTACATTGAGTTGAGAACTGATTATCAACGTTTAATTTTGCCCATACTCATGGTAGTTTATATAATGGATACCTTTATCAGTACTGATTTTTGTTTAAAAAAAATTGCATAATTTCCAGGAGTTTGGTCATCAACCCCCTGACTGGCTCAGAGAGATTGCTAGTTCCTCAGGTATAGAGTTTATCTTTCCATTATTGTGTGTTTCATTGATGGCAGAGTATGTATATTAAGAGCTTCTTTGCTCACAATAATATGAGGTAGAACTGTGTTATGGAATCTAGTACTTCCCAGCATTAAAGTTTTAACCTGGTTTGTCTTTTTTATTTTAGGAAGTATATATTCTGATACATCTGGCAGCATTCCTCTTCATCCAAGAAGGTGTGATGATATTAACACATGTATATACAAGGCATACATGTTGCCGGGTTCATTCTTCTCCCTACACAAAAAACCCTAAATAAAACACTTAGGATTAAAACCTAAATTTTCAATGCCAGTTCAGTGCATTTATTACTTTATTTTTCCCGAATCCCTTAGTTTCATTATTTTATTCAACAATAAATAAAGAATACCATCCTGTAAGTTTTAAGAAGAGCAATATGTCATTTTTTTGTATTCCTGTTTCAGGGAGCTTCCAACCACAAATGGCGTAAATCCCATTCCTCAACCACGGTCCACAACTTACAGCACTAGCAGAGAGGAGAAAAATGGCTATGAAGTGGCTCCAGGTTTGGATCAGGTCCTCGAAGAAAAACAGTACAAGGGACGTCATTCAGTAGGTTATCCATCCGAAGATATTCTAGAGTCAAGATATGGGGGTCGGATTTCTCCACCACCTCGTCGAAGTCCTTCAGAGTACCAGCACACTGATTCAGGATATCCCTCTACATCTCCTGTAAGTATGAAGACATGGGGGTGCTGGGGGAGGTGGGGGGGAGGGTGAATGAATAGGAGAGTATATGGGAGTGGAGCCGATTTAAATTTGTTTTGAAGTTACATTCTTGGAAGTTCAAAATAAATAGATGCATAACCTTTAACCTCTTTTAAAAAAGGTTTAAAGCCAATAGTTTATGGCTACATGTCCCTTTGTTTTGGTACTTCTTCTTTTGATAACCACATTAATTTTTTGTTATTTTTTTATTTTCATTTAGCCATCAAAAACAAACCACTACAATGGCTTCACAAAAGGTGGGTTCTTTTTTCAGTACCAAAGACAGGTCTGTTGTAAAACTGTGTCTAATATATGTAACATGACTAACACTTACCTCTCCCTTTATTGCTACACTTTAGGTAGTTTTCTTGATTCACATCTTTCATTGTACCATCCAGAACATGTCCTTCCATTGTTGCACTCTAAAGTTAAGGACCCCGTCCCAGTGGCATAAGTAGCTTAATAATTAATGGGATTTTTGCACCCTTTGTTTTCAGGCTCTTTTTCTCTTTTTTTAAATTGTTTTCTTTTGTTGTCTTCTAAAGGTCTATCATCTATCAATGGAACTTTCAGAGATGACCATAGTTTTAGTCGATCAAGTGACAGAGAGGTACATGTAACAACCAGTGCACAGAAATAAAATAATGAACAAGCTATAACAAGCACTTTTACATTTTTAACATAATAAATTGGCTTCAACATTAAGACTGAAGCAATTTAATATTTATATAATAACCCATCAACTTGGTTTCAAAGTTAGAAATGAAACAAAACAAAAAATTAGTGTCTTTTCTCTTCTTATGTTGCTCATGACAGAAAGTAGGCAGAGTTTGAGTTTAAATAATATTGGATGCTTCACATATAGTTGTAACCTTCTAGTGAGACCAATATTTTTTAAACCGTCTAAATATTGTCCTCTCAAGATCAATTAGTTAAAACCTTTTTGAAACTGTTGCATGACATGCTCCCCTCTCTGAGTTTTTGTTAACAACGTTCAGTTTAAGTTGTTTACCTGTCCCTTTCCTTTAAATTAATGTAGTATTCATTCTCGTCTTTATTTATTTATTCGATGTACTTCTTTTTTAACTGCTGTTTCTTCAGATTGAGCTAAGAACGAAAATGGTTGAGGCAAAGTACCATGAAGATAAGCTTAAGCTTCAGCAGCAACATGATGTTGCTGTCCAAAAGGTAATTCAAGTAGCAAAAAGTTGATAATAGGTCAAGACTAAAAATGTTGCTGTAAGTTTGTAAAATTAAGACATTTTAAAAACTGTACCTTTATCCTTTTTCCAGTTATTTTGTGGGTGTCAGAATGCTGTAAGGTGTCAGTGAGTCATCATTTTGAGAAAGTAATTGTGTCTAACTCTTAGATATCAAGGATATGTTTCTTTTTTGTAGATTTTAGACAGAAAGAACATGGAATTAGAGGAAGTGAAATCGCACTACAGAAACAAGATAACTGAAATGGAAGCAGCTGCTAAGAAACAGGAAAGAAAAGGTAACAATAATTTAAGAAAAACGTTTTACCCACTTCCCTTCTCTCCAAGATCCAAAAGAAATGAGAAGCACCTCATTTAGTAGCACAATTCTGTCTTGGCAACTCTTTGGCCAACAGTGGTTAAACTGTAAGTTGGAGGAAAAGTAGACAGCAAAAAGACATTCACTAGGAATGTTTTGCACAAGTAACAACCTAATGCTGTATGTTACATAGTCACTTGATGAAATTCAGTGAAATAAGAATTATTATTGCTTTGTCAGGATGTTGGGACTTTAATCATATACCCACTAAATAAGGGAGGGCAATGCTTGTTGCAAAATGGAGTGCAATATTTCTCCATTCTCTATGGAGGTTTTTATACCATTGATAATAGATTATTGAGGACACAGAATGTTGTGCTTGTTGATAGCTGTTCACAGATCCTCTATTTTCTCCTTAGTTGAGAGCACGTATGAAAATGAAAACCATGGAGGATATATTCACTGCTAGTTCCATGGGGTGGGGGAGGGGGTGTAAATATTGCACTCACTCTCCAAATTTCTTTGGGGGGGGGGGGGGGGGGGGGAAAAAAAAAAAAAATTTTTGCAAAGATGGGGTGGGGGGAGCTGAAAAAAAATTTTTAAATTCTCTTGCAAAAAACGGTTTTTAAAAACAGTATTTTTTTTTTGTTTTCCCGTTTCAAAACCCTCCCTTTTTTTAATTTTACCATAAAGGGGCCTTATTCATTTTAAATGAAATAAAACACTAAAACAGAAAAAGGCTTTTTTTATTCAAGTTTCCCTACAAAGTCCTTTTTTTGTCCGCTATGGCAGTAAAGGGTATAAAAGGAAAAACGTGGGTGATAGTTTCACGGGTAGTTCCCTGGGGGCGGGGAGGGGGTGTAAATTGTGGCTCGCCTCTCCAAATTTTTTTGGGGGGGGGGGCGGTGAGGAAAGAAAAAAACATATGTGCACAGACTGGTATGCTGAGAGCTGAAAGAAATTTTTCAAATCTCTTTGCAAGTACAGTTGTTCATCACCAGTATCTGTTTCTTGTGTTCCCGTTTCAAAGCCATCACTTTCTTGAATTTATCATCAAGAGGGCCTTATTCATTCTAAGTGAATGAACACATTACAAAGGAAGAGTGCTTCTTGTATTCAGTTTCTCAGCTCGTCAGAGAAGCACAAACAATGAAGGAGCAGAGAGATCAACAAATAGCTGAACTCAAGACTCTGGCTGAGCAGAGTGGTGAAACAGCACAGCATGGCTTTGAAAAAAAGGTCAGTACCTCTTTATACCTACTTATTATCTTAGTTAGATGTTTTGTTGAGAACAAGGAGAATTGTACACACAACTTAGTATTGAGAAAATCTCATTCTCTTTTAACTGCCCAACACCCATTTCAAAGGGAATGACAAGGTTATTGTTTTCTTGTGGCCTTAATTCAGTTGAATGACAAGATAGCAGAGTTTGAGCAAGAGAAGTTTGAGATGCAAAAGCAACACACACAGAATATCCAGGAATTACTGGACGAAACAAATCAGAGACTGCAAAAAATGGAGACTGAATACAATCAGCAAAATGCAGCCACAGTAAGTGAAACATGCATTGTACTAAGCATATTTGCAAAATAAATATAAAAACCCATGGGAGCGAGGAAGACAAGGTTTGGGGAGGCAGTGTGACCGAGTGGTTAGAGCACTGGTGTGGCAATCCAGAGGCCCGAATTTCAAGTCCCCCCCTGACCGCTAGCAGGATTAATTCATAGTAGTCGCGAGTTTAAATCCTCAGCTATGCTTGCCTATAGCCAACTGGTTTGCCTCTGGGCAATGGGGATTTGTTACTTGAAATGTTTATTTAAATTTGTTGATCCTGACTTTTGTAGAGGTATCAGTTGTTAGAAGATTAGGTGACAGTACTTTCTCAAGGAATCCAGTTCTTCTAGATGAAATTTTTGATAAATGCTAGAAGGCAGTATCTGACACTCATTGTGATTGCTGTTCTTTAGAGGCTTGTAATTCAGGAGTTGGAAACAAGAGTTCAACAACTTACTCAAGAATCAGAAGGTCTTCAAAGCTCACGATCCAAGCTTGCAAAGGAAAAGGTAACAAAAATCATTACTGTGGCACTTGTTGTTGTCACTTGAGGGCCCGCAGTACATACTGGCCCCTCTGTTGTGGTTATCCTGTCTTGTAAAACCTATTTTAGGTGCATTCTGGTGCTAATTAATTCATTTGAAATTATACTGGAGGCCTGTCAAATCGTGGCCATGAAGATAGTAACATCATTTTCTGTATTAGAAAACTTCATAGGTCAACCATATGTCCGCCTTTCAGCCGGGGTAGCTACAGACATGCTATTGCCTATAGACAGTCAATGCAAACAATTAGAATGTATTTTCCTCTTACAATGGTGATCTCCAGTCTTCCTTAATAGTCAACCCAAACTGAATTTCTAGCTTTTCAATCAATCTGGTTAGTCTACACCAATTAGAAGCAGAAAACGAAGCAAAATTCATTAGCAAATGACAATACTTTTTACATCAAGTGAGGGTCACATGCAAAAGCGCAGGCAAATTTACATAGATAGATAAAGATAGATGGTGACTTTCGTTAACGAAGGTGGCACATGGCAGTTTTAACAACTGATGACCCAGTGGCCCTCAAAAAATAGATTATGTGAAAGAAAAATAAAAATTTATATAAATAAAAATTTAAAATAGTTACACTTATTCTGGTTATTATAAACTCAAGTCATAAAAATGTATTAAAACTGATATAGAAAGAGACTAAAATATACACAAGATCGTGAAAGTTAAGATGAAATTCAGAAGAAGAAACTATTGGAGAAGGGGAAGGGTCCTGAAACCTTCACCTGACTCAGTGAATGACAGTTTTAACCTAATGATTCACTTTGCTGCTTTTTTTTAGGAAGAACTTGAACAACAGGCATCCTCCCTGTCCAGTGAATTACAAGAAGCCAAGACAACGTAATTACATTTGCCTCTAAACAGTTTTTTGTTTTCTGTATCTATCAAAATATTTAGCACATTATTTCCTAGTTTCTGTTGAATGTTCTTTTAGTCGTAGTCTGCATACATTTCTTGCCAAATTTGGTATCAATCATGGTATCCTACAAGAGGGTCCTTGATCGATTTTTTGGGGTCCGGGATTCGGGATTGAAAGTATGCACGGGATGGGGATGCCCAAAATAACATTAAGGGATTGAGCCAAAGTTTGCATCGGGATGACGGGACTGAAGAACCCAGCAGGAGACGTACACATAGCCAACAGTGACACTCAAAATTTTGTTTTTTTTCTTTTCTTCAAAAACAAAATTAAAACTTGGAATATTCCTGGCGGTGGGACTCTCTAAGTCATTTTCAAGCTAAAATGAGGGGCTGGGCGGGGGAGAGAGGTCGTTTGGTACTTAATTATGCAGCCTTGGCAGGGATGAACCGCTCAATAGAATATGACATTTCAACGTACTGAGTTTGGGCCGCCTGTGATCGATCTCACAGTGTGGTGACAATCCAACCTTCCTCATGGTTCTCATCGCTGTATGGATACCAGGAACAGATACTGGCAGGTTAGAACTAGTTTATCTAATACCAAATAAGATTAAAAGAGTCTTGTATGTTTGCTTTTTAGCCTGGCAAAAATGGAGCGAGACCATTCTTCTGCAATCAATGAACACAAAGCAGTAATCAAACAGTTAAACAAGAAAACGGATGCTAGCATGGAAGGAATGAAACAACAGCATGCAGGAGCCATTGCCAAGGTATCTGTCCGTTTTATATTAATGAACTTACGCAACCGGACGGGAACAGAAAGAAAACGGCATTGTGTGGCAAGCCAGGGTTCTATCTAGGATTTATCGTTTGGGGGAGAAGTCCCAAGTGGCGGAAGGCCACGAGCTTCCTAGGGGGATCCGGGGACATGCTCCTACGGGAAATTTTTTGAAATGAATATGCGCTGAGATGCAATCTGGTGCATTTTGAGACACGATTGTGTCCTTAGACAGGGAATACTTACGTCATGTGCACTCACCTCGTCGCGTCTGGATGATTTTTCCGATATAGTTATATACTTATTATATACTGCAATGATAACAATGTTTTTTAGGGGAAGCTGGGCATTTTGCGGGGAAGCTTCTACCCCTCAAATACCTTAGATAGAACCCTGCAACCTTGGCAACAATTATGTTTGGAAAAATTTTCAAAACTTGTCAGCACCTGTCACAATGAAAAAAGCGTTGAGAGGGGTGATTGAAAGAAGAAACTCTAACAGACTTGGTGAATAAAAACCACCAGCTAACCTATATGAAATGCAAGTTTCAATTACGATGAACCGCCTCATGCGCTGGCAGCCTCATTCTTTGCTGACTTTTGGAATGTGTAGTATCTCCTTCCTCGTGACTTCAAAATCTATCTTGCATTTATCTGCATCGTAAATTTTTTTGATTTTGTACGAGAGGTAACTGGCAATGTTCCTCTCCTTTTTGTAAGAAATTTCGTGAGTGATTTTATGATCTGTGTACATTTAGGCGACAGACACGATAGCGGAATTGGAGTCACAGGTTACCCAGCTGAAACAGGCACTCCAAGATACTGAGTTTCAACGCCAGAGACAGCTTAGGGTAAGGATTTGATTTGAGTTACCACTGTCCCAGCAGCAGGTTTTATAGTTATCTTTAATTATGTCTAAACATGCGCCACTTTGGAAACAAGAGGGAAACTGGGCCGAGTTGACTGTTGCAAAGACTTCTGGGACTATTACTAGGGACTAACCTGCATGTTCCCAGTAACTATCCCACAAACAATTGCGCGACGCAGTGCGGCCCCAGTTCCCTTCTCTTTCACACTGCACAGTCATCCAAAGCGGTCATCGTCCACAAAAGGAACTTCAGGACCCTATTTTTTTCTCCGATTGACCACGCCTTAGACATTTTTTCTCATTTGATAACGTGACGTAATAGACGCTTTTGTGACTAGAAGGGGAGTAATTGACATTCTAGCGCTTACAGGAAGTGTATTTGGTTATAGCAGTTTTGATGCTTTTATATTAACAGGAACTAGAAGCCGCGCACAAACAAGAGAAATTAAACTTAGAGCACCTTCACGAGAAAAAGGTGAGCGACCTTAGTTACAATGCTGAACATGCTGTTCTCGAGGAATAAACTCCAAATGGAGAGAGCTTTTTCGAAGGCTAGATATTTCTTTGTTCCTTTTTCAGATTCGGGGGATTCAGGCAGAGCTAAATCAGGGTGAAGAAGAGTCCGAGAAGCGTATTAGAAAGTTGGAGGTAGCTCTGAAGTAAGCTCGCCATGTGAATGCAAATGTTCTTTGTTGTTGTTGTTGTTGTTGTTGTTTTGCTATGAGGAATTTAGGATTCCTTAATTATTACTTAGATTTTGGCATCCTCTCTATTTTATGGAGCGTGAAACCTGCATAAAGTAGCCTTCGTTCTTATCATACCCCACACAAATCGTATTGCGATAATCAGAACCCTGAAATAGTCTAAGAGCGCCGAGGAAGGTATGAAATAGGGTGTGACTTTGATCCCCTCAGACACATCTTGTGCATAAACCACATCTCTCAGAAGTCATCCTTGAAATTTTTTCAGTCTTGCGAACTGATGATATGCGATTTTTAGCTTTGGCAATAGTCGGTTCAGGTTTGGTTCTCAGACCGTTATCTTTTGGGTTTCAAAGCAACCGACACATCAAACATTTTTGGTACAAAAGGGTAGAAAACTAAAAGAAAAGAAACGGAAATGTTCAGGCATCAACACTTCATAAGCGTTTGACTTGAGCATGCACGTTCACATGGTGCTAAATAATCGTTTTTTTTTTCTAAAGGGAACGTGACGATCAAGTACAAAAGCTTTCTGAAGTTCAAAAACAGCAAGCTCAGCAGGCTGAACTAGCGCTGGAGGATTTTAAAAGTCAAGTAGAGAGAAACTCAGGAAGAATGTTCGACGAGATGAAAGCACAGGTAAAGCTTATTCCGCTGTCAGTCATTCGTTTAGCGGTCAGTCGATCTGCCAGACAATCACTATCGATATGTTGTTACCATTCAGCACTGGGCACTCAGGGTTTATTCTAGAGCGAGGCCTTGCGGGATTTCCGCAATTTGGAAAAAAAAGCCGCATAAAATTTACGTTGCCGCGTCAAATGGGGCGCAAAAAAATTAAACCCAAGGATAAGCACTATTTTTTTGAAAGAAGCTTTTCATTTACGTTAAAGCATTCGAGTCATTTGAACTTCATGTTCAGTACTTGCGGGTCTTTAAGTGATAATTTCAATAAACGTTCGTTTTCTCATGGAACAGTCTGTACCAACAAGTTCAAATAGCTTTGGGGGACCCCCTTTCTTGGACCCCTTTCTTGAAAAAGGGCCCCCTAAAATTACAGAAGGGGGTCCATTTGACCCTCATTGGCCAATTTCTAGAATAAACCCTGAGCACTGACTGTGCCTCGTCCACAGAAATTTGCTTTCTCATCTGGGAATAGTTGGTTAATTATTGAGGAAAGCGGGGGGATGAGGTCTCCTTCCGATGATCAACTATTATTATTCTGCAGATGGAGAAAGTTGAAGAAGACCTGGCTCGTTCTAAGAATCTTCGGGAAAAGCAGGCAAAGGAATTTAGCCGCCAACTAGATGACCTCAAAATCAAGCATGAAAAAGAGGTACACTTTTTTGTATGTCAATTTTGTCCTTAAGTTGTGAAAAACATTCATCGTGTGTCCTTACCATGAACTCTGAAAGAAAAGCACGTAATGATTATTAGAATTGCAGTAGTCCTCAACCGTCGAGTAAACAAAAGGTAACAATTATTTTAATTCACTCATACAGGACCATAGATACGTGCAATCTTGGGCAAAACTCTTGCTAAAATTGCATACTTGGAGAGCATTTTTCTAAACATCGTAGCCGCGGCGATTTTTCTCTCCCCCTCCCCCCTCATTCGTGGGCGTTCGAAGTAAGCAACGTTGAACTGGGGAAGGGGTTTTTCTTTATGCAAAGCAGTTGATTTGGAAATGGTTTTGTTGTATAAGGTAGTGCGTGTAAACGAAAAAATGTTCTCAAGTAGTTTTTTCCAGGATTGTAGCAAAATTTGTGTTGATCTCTAGCTGATTGTGTGCTCGTGACGGAAACACTTAACTCGTCTGTTCTGAACCGAGTTTATCTACTGCTATACTTGCTAACTTGCTTACTTACTAACATCCATCCTTTTCCTTTTTTTCTCAGGTTGCAGAAATAAGTATTAGACACGAGCAGGAGAAAGCACAGACCCTCAGGGCTCATCAGATAGAAAGAGATTCGTTATTAAACGAACACGAACAAGGAAAGGTAGAATAAAAGAACATCAGCAGCTAATTATCCATCGGTTTAGCAGAAAAATACTCATTCACCGATGTCAGATAAGACTCCGTATTTGTTGAAACAACTACACCAGACTTATACTCTGTTTCAAAAGCGGTTGAAACAGAGTATAAGTCCAGTAGTACTAGTTCATTTTGACGCAGACTTGTTGCTGCCCTCGGTTAGAACCGCCGACTTGAAAGACCTTTGTATAATTTTCATCAGATTTCTTTCCTCAAACTAGCAGGCGCCGGTTTTTTAAGGACGAAGGGAAAGTATGGCCTCAGTTGGATAGCGCTATCATCGGATAGATCAGTATCAGGAAAACCAATTGCGTTATCCAGCAGATAGAGATTTATCCGGTGGATAGATTTATCTAACGCACTGTTTAAATATCTTGGGCCTGAGAACAGATAGTTTATTTTCGTTGGTTTTCAGTGACTTCTCTTTCTAAGGGGAGATACCGAGAAGGCACATTGCTTTTTTTGTTTTATCCTTTCTTTTAGGAAATGCAACTGGAAAAGCTTCGCCAGAAAATGTTAGAACATGAAAATCAAGCCCGAAACAGGACAACAAAAGATGCCAAGGTACTTAACGAGTTTAAAAGTAGTGAGCTTTTAATCTCGCTGTTTCACCGCTCGTTTAGCTCATTTGCACGCTCACCAAACAAAACCACCGGCTACTCAGGCTAAGCTTTTAAACTTTATATTTTGTCTCATTTTACCTGGATGCAGGCGGACTTTAAATTGCGGTGTTACGTGTATACAGTGCAATTCTGATATTTCTTATCTCCTCGGGAGAAGGAAATTGGTTCGAATGGTTGGAAGGGGGAGTTAAAAATACTGTGGTTGACTGGGGGAGAGACGTCAGGTTTGGTTCAAATTATTGGAAGGTTCTCCTGGGTCTTTACTGATTGAATGTTTTCACTTCTTGGCAGACTATTGCTGAGTTAGAGCAGCAAGTGAGAGAGTTACGAGAAGAGGTAAGTGTTTCTCTCGAGTACGCCAAAATCGAGCAAGTGAAAGAAAGGCTCTGCTGGCAGAGTGCAATTCTCTGAATTTTTTTGTCACATTTACATTAGAGACCTTAAAATTCTGAAAGAGGAGAACGACTACGAGTGAGAGATTTTCTCAATAGTAGGAAGTGCTCGCTTGGAGGCAGCGTCATTTTGGCGGGAAAACGTGGTAGCCGCGGGAACAAGTTATCAAATGTTAGAAGTTGTAGCATTTTACAATCGGAAGAGGGCTCAATCTCCTTACGATAACAGTGCTAACTTTTCTGGTGAAAAAAAGTACAATGAAGAATTCCGGGGTATCTATTTTTTGACAATACGCGAAAAAAACTTTAAATCAAATCTCGTACTCGTAGTCGTTCTCGTCTTCGAATCTAAAGGTTTCTATTCCTAGGTCCCCACAACGGCCACTTACCTCTGTCTGTCCCCACGGTGGGTGGGTAAGGGAGGTTTGATCATGTGGAGAGGTTAAGCATCACGTTTACGTCAAACGGCAAACGCGAATTTGTGCCACGTGACCAAGTTTCTGCTTTACTTGTCGTTTACAGTTCATTATTTCTACACATGATTTAGCAGTTTCACGCAATTATTTATCGATAAGAATTATTTGGAGCTGTTTTTATCTGCTTATTTTCTATTTTGAGAAATTCTTAACTTGAATCTGATGTTTGCCGTATACGTGAAACTTAAACACTCTTGTATTTCAAATACAGTGGAACCTCGATATAACGAACCACTATATAACGAAGTCCTCGGTATAAAAGCGAACGATTCTCTTTACCCCAGTAATTGTAAAATATATGGAAGAGAACTTCGTTATAGCGAACAAATTTGGCCATTCCCTGGCCTTTCGTTGTATCGAGGTTCCTCTATATCCTTTAACGGTTACTCACCATGTTTGGTGGCAGATTATTCAAGCGAATTCCACCCACAAGACTCAGTTGATGGAACTAAGCCTGATGAGAGAAGAGGAGAAACAAAACTACAAGAGACAGGAAGAAAACATGGTGAGCTGTGCATTTTTATTTGGCCTCATTCAAGTTCTCCATCAGCGTATCAAGCGGTTTTTCTTTCAAATAGCATTCGAGGTATACCGTAAATCCTCTGTTTAAGCCCCCTCTCTCCAGTAAGCCCCCATAACGGCCCTTTTTCAGAAAAATAAAGTTAATAAGCCCCTCTCCCCTCCCCCTTATTATTCTTCAGTAATAAATGATAGACTGTATTAATCAATCACCGGACTGTAAAACTTCGTGTGGACTGATCCGCGATGCATGGTTTATTCACCAACTGGAAGTTCGGAATTGTTTTTGATCCTCGGCTGCATGACCTCCTCTTGTACTTGAGCTTTTCCACTTTGTATTTTGGTTCTTTTTGGAAAATTGATACCATCGTCTTTGCTAAATTAAATATGTCCCCCGTCTCTATTAAACCCCCCCCCCCCTCCCCCCCCCCCCCCCCAAATGGGCTTGAAATAAATATCCCCCCCGGGGCCTCTTCGAGGATTTACGGTACTAAAAGGTTCCTTTGCAATTATGATCTGGCCTTTTTTTTTCATACAAAAAAAGTGTACGGTAATAACAATTTCCCCTTATTCTTCGCCTTTAACCCCCCCCCCCCTCTCCCCGCCCTCCCCGTCAAATGGGCTTGAAATAAATATGCCCCCCGGGGCTTATTAGAGGATTTACGGTACTAAGAGGTTCCTTTGCAATTATGATCTGGCCTTTTTTTTTCATAACAAAATAGTGTACTGTAATAGACATTTCCCAGTATCCGTCGCCGGGTCTTCGATGTGAAGAAGGCTTTTTGATGATTACCAACTCTCTTTGTTTTGAACAGCAAGTAAAATTCAAGAGCCAGCTGGAACAGCAAAAATTACAGTTGCAACGTGAACACAGCACGGAGATGGAACAGATTTTAGAAAAGGTAAGGCGGAAAATAATATTGATTTTCTAGACGTTCTTAATAAGCCTGGGTACTCGTATTTTTTCTAGAACCGCCTGAAGAGTGGTAACGAAGGTTTGTTTTGTAGTTAAATTTTTTTCTAAGGCGATAATGATAAATCCTCCCTAGCACGATATGATTAATGGAATTTTTCCTTCTGTTTAGACAAACAACAGAATGAAACAGATGGAAGAAGAATACGTTGGCAGATCCACCAAAGGACAAAAGGTCAGAGCATTTACCTTTTTTTTAACATGTCAAAGTAGACAAGTACAGACCTCCCTTAACTTTTGTTTTTACTTTTTTGTGGTGGCGATTCAACCTCCGAGCTGCGAGCTCCGCTCTTTTTTACGCACAACACGCCCATATACTATTCTTCTCAGCAAAGCGAGGGTGCTCTGTTGAAGGTTTGAAAATTCCAGTTAACAGAGAAAGGTTGGTGGGCTGTGAGTACAAACATGATTGCAAAATTTATCATTGATGGTGTTATGTCCGATCAAGACACATTTTGGGATATTTAGGCGAGCAATACTTTTAAATTTACAGCCCTAGATTGCATAATTTATTCTTTAGTATAAATCACTTCAACTGAAAATAGAGAAATTGCGGTTGCTCGTGTGCTATTTTTAATGGCTTAGAGTATGTGCTAGGCACATGTAAACCTCAGCGCAGACATCAGTTCCTCTTGTTTATCAAGTTTACATAAATTATGTGTTGTTTCAAAAGATATATTTGCTGCTTTGTTTTTTACCGCAGGTTATAGAAACCCTAGAAGACGAAATAAAGAAATTAAAAGAAGAAATTGCTCGGTAAGATACGTGCCGTGTCAAGTTTTTAAACGTGATCTGAAGTGAACCGTTGTTTAAGCTTATTTAGGTTCAGTAAGAGGACCGTTGGTTATCAGGCAATCAGAACTGTCTTAGCATGGACGTCATACATTAAATAAATTAACTTTGGAAAGAACAAAGACTGTAGAGGAAGGTAGTTTGATTCAATAAAAAAAGGACTTGCACGGTCTCTGGGTTTAGCAAAATATATCAAAAGCAGCGCACGTTTTTTGCAGTACAAGTAACTTATTGACGTAGGTCTGTGGACAGTTGCCCACATGCGCAGATACCATAATTTACATAAGGTGCATGATATCAATTCAAAGAAGATGCCGTGGAATGTAATGCCTCATTTTAGCGATAGTTCCAACCGATCTACCAATTTTGTGATAGATAAAGTCATTATGATGCTTCCATGAAAGTCCAGAATCAATCATTATACCCAAATATTTAACAGTCCTTCATCTGTAATATTGTCATTTGCATAGATTAGACTTGCATCAACTGCGAATAGATAAAAAGTAAATTTCTTGAAAGATTTATGGATGTCATTAATATATAATTAGAAAAGCAAGGGCCCAAGTGCAGGGCCTTGAGGCACTCCACATACGATCGTTTCAGTCTCAGATATGCATTTGCCTATTTCAATCGACTGTTGGCGATCTGAAAGATATGATCTAAACCAAGAATTTATAACTCCTCTTACTCCATAGTTTTCAAATTGGATATCCTCTAGGAGTTCGATTCTCTGAAGAAGTCAGTGTGGGGGAAGGAAAGCCTCCTGCTCCCATCCCTCGAGACCATGCTTTTAAGCTTACTCAATTGCTAAGTACCAGAACACATTCTAAAAGACACCTTACTTTTAACTAACTGGGACTAAACGTTCTTGCAGGACAAGAACAAGCTTAGAAAAGAAACTTGCTCAAACCACAGCTAAACACGAAGACGAGAAAGCATCGGTGAAAAAGCATCATTCTACAATTGTTAAGGTTTGTGATTTGTAATTAATTTGTTCCTGGTGTTATTGTTGTTTGAAACTTTAATATGTTTCACTGTCGCTATCTTTCGTAACAATGGTAACATAGTTAACCTAGTAACTCCCAGCATCCCACAAAGACGTTCTTAGGGGTTCGTCACGTGGAAACGCGTGACGGATCCCTAAGAACGTCTCTGTGGGAGGCTAAGTAACGCCAAGTCCACATGAATCCGGACATTTTTGAAACGGCATATTTTCTAACCGGATTCGTTCTGACGTAACCTGAAGGAAACCACCAAAACGCAAGGAAGGAGGGGTGGTGTGGAGGTTGGCGGTTGCGTTACCAATTTCTCCTCAACCACCCTTCCCATATTTTTTTTTGTTTTGGCCCAGCACTTATTATTGATTCGCTCATGCAAGGATTGTCTGCTACGCAGTTGCTCGTAGGCCGAGTAGAGCTAACTCAGACTTTAAATGTTAAACTTCCTGTTTTATACACCGTTTTCTTCTTATTTTGGCTAACTTAACTGGGTGTTGCCAATCAAAGGCTCACCAATAATTTTTATACGCTTTGTTAGCTTAATTAACCCTAGATTAAATTTGACCATCGTCCAAGAAACCAGGGCCAGTATAGTGTGTTGCAAGGGAACTGTTGATGGTTGTCATCGATCATGATGAACGTTCAAAAGAGAATTCTTTTTCTCCTTAGTCCTTGCAGCAAGATGTGGAAACGCAAAAGACAATGGTCAAGCATTTGGAGAAGCGTGTTCAACAAACGGAGCTCGACTCACAAGAAAGAGTATGAATAAGACCTTTGACAGTAACTGTAGTCAGTTTTTTTATCTATTTGATTTGTTGTAATTAGGATTTTCCGTTCGACAGTTTGAAAAAACTGCCCACTTACCCCCCCACCCGTCTTACCCGACATTTTACCTTAAGTGAAGGGTTAGAATTACCTTTGGGTTCTGGGAGGGGTAGGTAGGAAGTTTTTCCTCCAGAATCATATTGATCATTTTCCGATAGGAAACTACAGGGAAATATACCAGAAGGAAAGCATACAGATGCGCCTTTAAATTATGGTTCTAAAATTATTCAAGGCAGTTGAAGGTTATCCATCCATTTATTTATTTATTCATATATTTTGCTCCACAGATATCTCGACTGCGATTACAGTACGAAGAGAAAATGAAAGGTTTAATGCCAGCTTCTCTCAGAGAGGTAAAATTTTATTGCCTTTGCTTATTAATGGATAAGTTGCCCAGCAGAGTTTTCTCCCATCGAAAACTACTTTCATTCTCCATTCTCGCTGGGAGATATCCCCTTACATGCTACATGCAGTGGCTGACCAAATTGAGGCCCAAAGGGCCGGAAAAAAATTTTGAGACCGGGCCCCCCCTCCCCCCCCTCCCTTTCCTTTACCTGAAGGTCTGGATCTGTCACTGACAGGTCCCCTTAGGGATCTTGCAATTGATATATGGGCAAGTGAGCTTTGAAAGTTTCTTACCCAGCAAGAAAATCCACTTGTTCCGGAGCCGAACGGGACTTTTTTTGAGCCCTGTAACCCCATGTTTTGACAATTTACCCGTTGTTTGTATTCCCAGGAGCTTGAGGATACAATCGAGTCGCTCAGACAGCAGATATCTGTGCTCCAATCCCGTGCGCGAGTGCTACAGGAGGAACTGGACTCTGGGAACCGGCTTTCTTCGTCTTTCAGCACTTCTGCTGTACGCGATCAGGATGAATTATGATCAAACTGACGAAAAAAAATTACGTCGAATAAGTATATAACAGAGTGGAGTGCAGGATTTCTCTCATCAAGCACACAGCATTACTGTTTGACATTCGAATCTGAAAAAAATATATATATCTAAGCATTGTACATATTCTAGGCAATATAGTTTCCAAGCCTTCCTCTTGCACTTGTGGTTGCGAAAGCCCTGCAAACAAGCCCTTTGCCCGCGACACTTAAATACATTTGTATTGTTTCAGTTAATAGAATAATTTAAACATGTTTTGGCATGTAAATTCCATAACAGTGATAAGCTCAGGTCTGAAATTATAAAAGAGTGTTTGAAGATTTGTCCGTCGGTGTAAAACGCCAAATGGTGATTTCAATATTTTCCTAGTGTAAATTATTCCCCTTAGACGAATAAACATTAAAGGCACATTGTACACCTGTAGTCTTTTACACAACAAGTTTTCTTGTTTGTTGTTAAACTGAAATAGCACAATTAATAAACGATTATTGGATGAGGTTTTTGTGATATCCGGAATAATCAAGGTCGAGTCCGAGGCTGATAACACTTGCTGAGACTTTAATTTACCGGATATTACAAAAACTGAATCTGATAACTGTTTTATCATACATTGTTTTGACGAAAATAATGACAAGGACACTGACGCATGGAACTGAATTGACATTGCTGCTGGAAATCAAACATTGCGCACGCAACCTACAGATTAGTCAGTTATTTGCTAGCAGATAACCAACTAATCTGTAGGTTGCGCTGATTTCCAAAATTAGCTTTAGGCTGACGCTGTTAGCCAATGAGAAGACAGATAGTAGGGCCATTTATACGAGGGAAAATAAGACGCGCACTTTCCATATAAACGGCACATTTCGTCTAAAATAAGATGCGCCTTATTTTAGAACAGCCCTTAACACCCGTTCTTAGATAAGACACGTCTAAGACGAGAAAAACTTCGTATAATTGACCTTCGCGTCTTACATAAGACGCGAACGCATAGTACGCATGCGTTAATTTTTGGCGGGAAAATTGTCGCTTACCCCGCGGTGGATTGGCAGGCCACTGGCGGGGAAAAATTGTTTACAAATTACAACGCGTTTTCGTTTCCTTTTCTATTCTGCTTTATTTTTTTCTTCGCTCAAATACAATGAGCACGCCGTTAAACGTAAAAAGAAACACTTGGTCCATCGCGGAGGAAAAAGATTTTTTGTTATTATGTAAGGAGAAGGCGATAACAGACCTCCTGGACAAATGCGTGACATCTGCTGGCGTAAGTAGACCCTTTTAACTTTAAACTATCACAATTTATATATACTAATCAAATTGCTATCTTCGTATTATAAACTTGCACTTTAAAAGTAAGTTTAAGTGCACAGAAGACTTAGATAAGACATGCTCGTATAAATGGTCCAGTTCGCGTCTTATGTAAGACGCGTCTTATTTTTCCTCCTATAGATCGTTTTCACTGTCACGCAACAAAAAAATAAATTGAAAACCGTCCAGTGAAAGAAGCCAAGAAAATGATATGTTATAAAAGACTAATTTTTAAACAATTTGTCCAAGTCTCAGGTCTTTTTGGCCCACAGTTTCTGAGTCATTTGCCGAAACGTTTCACGCATCTTTGTAGAGCTTTGTATGGAGACGCCATATTGGTGCACAGTTTTGGTGCACCAATATGGCCGCCGAAAATCAACAAAAACATCTGGAGTTCACTTGTTCTATAAAAGCTCCTTCTTTTTACTCGAGAACTAGCCTACGTGCGCATAAACGTATCTTCTAATACTTGAAATGGTTATACTACTGAAAATCAAGAGGAGAGACTTTTTTTCAACGAGACAGCATTCCTATTTTGGTGTCACGCACTCTGAAAACTCGGAAGTTCAAATTGCTGTATTTTCGAAATGAAACATGCTATGGGACTGAAAACTTGTACAAAGATTAACTTTTTGTTTATCTTCTACCTAGTGTAAATAAGAATTCGTAAAACCTCGCTATTTTGACTTTACAATTTGATGACGTCACTGTGAAAGCCCTAGTGAGTACAATGTATAATAATAATAGTAATGGAACTGAGTGGAGTGAGTGAATTTCGGTCTGAAATCGTACGATTGATTAAACAAAATGCTAGGTGACCGATTTGTCCTATCACTCGAATATGAAATTGGACGGCACGAAGTTCTATTAACAATTCTTTAATCATAACATACTACAGCTATGTTTAAAAAACTTCCTTAAATAAAAGGACAAAATCGCCCGAACATTTTTGCCCATATGTAAGAAAAAAGAATCCATTCAAGTACAATTGGGCTTGGCACGTACTGTCCAATTACGCTCGCCTGTAGTGCTAAAATCAGGGCTGCCGATAGCCAATCAGTTAGGAGAATTTTGTTACAGTAATGTATAGGTTCTCTCACAGGAAACAGATGAGGGCGGAGTGCGAGTAACGTTTTGAGTCTCACCCGAAGAAACTGTTTCCGACTCTTCGAATAGGTGCACGCGCTGAGGAGCATGAATCATACAGCTATTGCGAGAAAGGTTGTCGGAAAAAGTGCACGCGACAATCCCGAAAGGTATTGTGGGTGGTTTGAGTTCACTCTTCTACAAAGAAATTTGAAAGAAAGGCACGAGAGGCCATGGATATATGTTTGCGAGTGCTAAAAGAAAGCAACAAAAGTAGGTTCGACAGCTACAGTCGTTAGGAACAGTGTACTGATCATATCCCGCATTAGCTTTCGGGATTGTCGCGTGCACTTTTTTGCGACAACCTTTCTCGAAATAGCTCTTTACCATAAATCCTCTATTTACCCCCCCCCCCCCACACATAAGCACCCCACCCCCCTCACTCCCCCCCCCCCCCCCCCCAGCCCGCCCTACCTTACCCCCCCGCCGGGCGGCCCAGCGCCCCTCATCAAACAATACAAACAAAAGCACCGCGGAACAAAAAGCGTATAGTGACTGCGCGCGTAAGAGACATAAGACAACACTCCCCCCCCCCCTGTCAAATAAGCCCTCCGTCCCTATTAATCCCCCCCCCCCTCAAATGTGTTTGAAATAAATAAGCCCGCGGGGGAGGGCTAATGGAGCCGTATATATATTAACCGTATATATGCGCGAAGGAAAAGAATGAGGTTGTTCCTTGGTCAATTAACAGCCCTAAAAAAAACTGCTGCAGAGAAAAAGCTAGCTTGTGCCTTCCGTTATTCCTCAGTCAATAGGCCATTTTCGAGTTGCCCAATCCTCCGTTTTAGGGCCTCTTTACATAGAGGTGAGGGAGCCCAGGTAGGTGAGGTAACCCGCTTAGGTAGAATAACCCGCGCTGTCCATATAATCCCTCATTTTAATTTGATCAAGTTTACATGATAGGTGGGGTGACCCGCCAAGGCCGGTAGCCCTGTCTGCCAGACCAGGTAACCCTCCCAGCCATGTAAACGTCAAGGTGGGGTCGACCCGCATAGCCGGGGTCGGATTCGTGATACATCAAATTCACGTAAAATTCACCTTGGCGGTGGCTTTCCATCATTATTAAAGGTAACAATAGAAAGCCACAGCACTGAAGGTTGCAGCAAGAGCAGCAAGTGAGTGTAGAAGAGCACTGGTGGCCAAAACACGTGGTTTGCATTCAATAATCTTGAGAAAGTGCACCCTGGGATGGCGGGGTTGTGAGATTGCATGTAAAGGAGGGTTATTGATTTACCCAAACTAAGCGGGTTACCTCACCTACCTGGGGTCCCCCGCCTCCATGTAAACAGGCCCTTAAAGCGAGGCCAGGGGCGAAGCTTTTGAAGTGAAAATGATTTTTAAGCTTTTAAAGTGAAAATGATTTTTTAATTTTCATGCAAGGAACAAAGAAATGTTTTGCACTTTGCAACGTTTTGAAACTGAGAGTTTTTGAAACTCGGAAATGGCCTATTCCAAGCATGCCCAAACCCTTCCCCTCGCCAAGCCAGAGGCATTTGTTATTTTTCCATTTCTTTCTTTCTTTTTTTTTTTCGGAAAACTGTAAATTCGCCACTGTACTAACGAGAAATCGTGGGCCTTGAAAATTTGTTTCTTTGCAAATACCGGTAAATGTGGTCGTTGTCGTCGTTGTTGTTGTTGTCATTTTTTAAAAAACTTCCATTCAGATAGAAGACAGTCTACTACTACAAGTCGACGCCTACCGATTCAGTAGACTATCGTGAAAGCTAAATGAATCTCCAAAAATAACAATGACCAAAGAACGAAATAAAAATGCAGTGTGGAGGCAAATAAACAAAAACAAATGGGTTGTTTACGTGAGTTTTAATTGGCTAGAATTTCAAGCGTGAAAGCGTGACCATTAATTGGGGCGTGCACGTGCAATGACGTAGTCAACGTAAGAGGAAAAGCTGGTTTATGAGCGTGTGATGGATCGGAGGAGAGGCCGCGAAAGATAACATCGAAAAAAAGAGTTTGGGTTTATAGCAAAAAGGTGAGAAAGATAGAACTTTGTTGTTTTCATGTACATATGTGTTGACGATACATCATCTTTCATTTTCAGGAGAATTGTGGGCTTAAACGAATGTAAACAATATTGAGAGCTCGCTCTATCAATTGTCGTGATAATGCGCGATTTTTTTGCTCCGCCTTAGTGTGCACGAATCTAGGACAATTTCAGTGTCTTTTCTCAGACATTTCCTCTAACTTTTTCTTTTAAAAGGGCATTGTCGCGCCATATGGACAAACCACAAGCGCAGTGAAACTCATTGGCTTGTGGTTGTCTTTTGCTGAGAAAACCTAGCTATAATTTCTGCTTCAACTTCAACATAAGACAAAAATAACTTTACGCTTAAGAGCTAAGATTGCATGGCGTTGTACTAAAAGGAAGAGTTTGACCGGAGCTGAACGTTAAAAATCACATTAACAAGTTTTTCTTGACAAGGAGAAAGTTTTCCTTGAGCGAGAACTTAATTGCTCGGCGTCGGTACACGGAAACTTGAAAACTTGACAAAGGAGAAACTTCCATCAAGTTTATTGTCCGCGGCATTCAAAGTCTTCAAATGAGCAAGATTCACATGAAACATTCCTCAACCTCGTACCCAGGGTTATTCCACTCGTCCTCCCGGATCGATGAGTAGGCGAGAACCCTGGGAAGGAGTTAAGAACACTCCTGCCTGGTTGCCTGTTTACCTCTCAATAAATTGGACAGCCAATAATGTCATTTATCTATGCGTTAACGTTTTCAGCGCTCAAAAAGTCCATCAAGGTCAGGAAATTCTCCGTGAAGATTGTTAGTGTCAGTTGGTTTAATTGGTAAACTTTTAGGCTCCTGTACAGAGGCGTTAAATTAAAAGGGTCAAAAATCCCTTTTATTCAATATCAAACCCCGCACAATTAGTCTCTCATGGTCTGGAAGACTGTTGATCCGGGATTTTGACCCAAGTATAGTGCGGTATTCTGGAAAACGCAAAATTTATTGACGGGATACGGGATTTGACCGCTACTCGGGAGGCGGGTTTCGCCAAAAGGTTGGTACGGGATGTGTTATTGGGAAAGAAAACGGTATGATTCAGCATAGAGATGAAAGAAGTTCGGGATGCGCGACTGTTGTGAAAAACCTAACGAGCGGGAAAGCGTGTTCATGAACCCCCTTCAAGAGACTCTGGTCATGCATGGCGTATTTTTTTTTTGCCTTTGGCGAACAATTGAAAAGAGGTAACCTAACCTAATAACAAAAAATGAATTATTAAATACTTTTAATTCTTTTAAGTGTAAATAGTGTACCACTGCCTAATCTATCAGTCTAAAAGGGAACAAATATAAAATGCTTCATTAAAAAACTTGGCACCTCAGTTGATTTGAGATCACTTTACCTTTTAAATACCCAATTGATTTCTCTGCCCACACCCAATAGTCATCTCTATTGTTTTTATATAAAATCGTATTAAAGTACGACTTTTTGCACCTTTAATTTTTCTTTCTCCGTTGTGTGTTGATTGTAGTTTTATGTAAATGTTTACGCCAGTTAATTGCGCGTGGCAGTGACCAACTCGAAAGCCAAAGCTCCTTTGATCACTGGCACATTTCACCTTTCATGATTTTCATTTATGTAATTTGTTGTTTCATTTTTTTGTTGTTGCTTTTGTAATGCACTGTAATCTATGTAGTAACCTCTTGTAATAGCCCCAAAAAATAAAAGATCTGAAATCTAAAATCTTCTTGAACGCAACTGACATTTCCGCAGGTCTGGCAGGTGAATACAACGCCGCCGGGGAGGGTTATACAAGAAATTAATGTCAAAGTTAAGGCGCCAGATGGTTAGCGTTTCGTAAATATTGACTTCCTCTTACCAAAACAGAATCCACCGAAACACGCTAACAAAAAGCGACGATTACCTGCCTTCTAATCCAAGACCATGAGTGCAGACTTGGCCAGTACAGTCGACTCCCAATAACTCGAACCTTCAAGGGAAATCGAAAGAAGTTCGAGTTATCGGGAGCTCGAAGAAAATAGCCGAAAGTAAAGGAAAAAAGCAGTTTTTACTGTACAGTGAACGTTTCAATCACATTTACTTGTAGAAATGTTAAGTGAAAATTGAAAGATACTTCTAGATTTTACAATATCAACAAAACGTAGCAAAATATAGCCTATATAAATATAAATATATAAATAGAGCATGTGTTTTACTGTTTTGATAATTAAAGGTGTTCACATTAGATTTGTAACAAACAACATCAGCCTGCCCTAGAGTAAAAATATGCTTACAACACGTCAATGGGAAATTCAAAATTCAATGTTTCGGACGCCAGTAGACTGTTTTTTTCCCGACTCTTTAGTTTTAAAAACTCAAAACATGATTCGAGTTATCGGGGGTAAAATTGTATAGAAATGATCTGAGGGGAAACGAAAATTACCTCGAGTTAGCTGGAGGTTCGAGTTATAGAGGGTTTTAGTTACCGAGGGTAAAATTACAGCAAATATATGAAGGAAATCAAGGGGAAATAAAAGTTAGCGCGAGGTTTAAGTTAGCGAGGGTTCGAGCTATCGGGAATCTACTGTATATTCTATGACTTGTATAACTTAGCGAACCCCAAGGGAACATTTTGAGTGTTTTCCCTGCGGGGGATCCTCGGCCTCCTACCACAGTTATGAACCCCCCACTACGCCTGATTAGTTTTTTGTGCACACAAAAGTAAACCTTAAGGTAGTCTTATTATAAGTATACCCTCACGTCCAGCTGGTATTTGCCATGACTTCGAGATTAAGAAGATGAAAAAGTGATTTCACGAAATAGATCAGTTTAGTCTGGTTTCTTAACTCACCCAAACGATTTACTGGTTGACCATGCTCCTCCAAGAAAATAGCCTGCGTAGCGCGCCCAACCAAAACCGCCATGCTACGCAGGCTACCAAGAAAACAAAATGTCATCCCTGGTTTACCACACTTAAAATTTCTGTTTGGAACAAAATTTCAGTCCCTAAAAAATCCTTCGGACTCAACCGTAGAACGAGAGATTAGGGAACTCGAGAGATTGGAGAAGAAAGTTGATAGGCAGCGGAGAAATTAGAAAGGAGTCAAAACAAGTTTGACACACACACATATATATATATTTAATGATGGCGAAGATTACTATGCTATATTTAGCTTCTGAAATGCCTAAAATATCATGTCAAAATAGTTTTTGTATAACATCATGCAATTATTAAAAAATAACCCTTCTTGGTACAATACCAAAATGGAAGAAACAATGCATTTCTGTGACCATCCCGATCTTCTCCAGCCCCATCATAGAAATTCTTTCTTCATAAGAAATCTGATAATAAATTCCCTTCGAGATTGTTTTAGTATTTCTAACTTTAACTGGATAGTTATTTTTCTTTTTAAGTTACGACGCTGTAGTCAGCAAACCCAAGATAAAAACAGCGGTCAAAGATTGAGGAAGAAAATACCTAACGTGCCAAATCGTGTTTTTGAATAAATTATTTTAATGTACTCAATTACGTCAAAGAGATTAACCGAGATCCCGTTTTCAAGAGGAGTTCAAATTGTTTATTATACCATTTAAATATTCTTACAGATATCGTAATTAACCGGCATATCACGGACAGCCATGAAATTCGTAAATTTTGTAGCACGGGTCAAATTACAGACGGGTCAAAATGTTATTTATTTGTTAACAGATCTGAACAGTATGAGTAATTGAGTTTAATAAATAAAACTAACGGTGAAGGTTACCAAGACCATATATTGACATCAACTGTAATTTTAGCTACGCTTGACTCGATTATACAAAACATTAAGTAACAAAAGGAACAAATGAATTTATAGCTAACCGAATGAACATAAACTTTGCTCGATAGTTCCTTGAAAATCGATGAAAAATACGGAGCATTTTCAACTTACTTTTATTCTGCATATTATGAGAGTGCCGAGTGTTTGTTCCACTTACTTGCTCCAAAAAAAAAAATCAAAAATTATTAAAACTAAAATTGCCTACTGATGAAAGTGACAATAACCAAACTTTTGTCGGTTAAATTTCTCCGCCTGATTTTCAAAAAAAAAATTTTTTTTGCAACCAATCGTCTCTCCTTCACCTTATCTGTGGAATAAAATTTGTTAAATGTAATTAGCAAAGAAAAATCAGGCTTCCGAACGTGTTAGAAGATGTGTTCTTCCGGGCCCTTCCGGTGAAGTCTTCAATTGACACGCTGATTAAAGGCTAATTTCTCCGCAGGCCACAAGCCCTTCGGTGGGTGTGGATTTTGCAGTTGGTTCTGTTGCAGCCAGTTGTCGGCCATAATGGTTTTCGACGCGTGCTGCCTCAGCCCTGAGGAGGCTGAACAGAAAGCTAGATCGCGGAAAATAGACAGACAGATAGCTCAAGAGAAAGTTCAATACCGTCGCCAGGTTAAAGTCTTACTTTTAGGGGCCGGAGAGAGCGGAAAAAGTACGTTCCTCAAGCAAATGCGCATCATCCATGGCAAGGATTTCGACATTGATGCTTTGAATGAATTTCGTCCCATCATATACAGTAACATTCTAAAGGGCATGAAAGTTTTGGCTGACGCTCGAAGGAAGCTAAGATTAGAATGGGAATATCCTACTAACCAGCAGTACGCTGAAATAATTTTAAACTTCCAAGCTCCTCAAATAATCGACACGGACCTATTCTTAAGGTACTTCGATTGTGTGAAGCGGTTATGGCGGGATAGGGGAATTCAAGATGCATTCGACAGACGGAGAGAATTTCAGTTGGTAAGCTTGTGCATTTGATACTTTGTTGATATGATCTGTGGGAGGTTAAATTTTTGTATCGTAGAAAGAGTTTATAGCCCTTGCTAGAAAGCGGCTTCGCGATCGATGTACTACTACCGCAAACAATGTATTATGCATAACACAGAACCCATCGACTATTATCAAGTTCAACAATGCAGGTTCGAGGGACATTAAGGCTCTACTCTTTGTCTTTTTCTAGTGCCACAGATTTTATGTGTAGTTTCAGCACGCAACTCCATCGTTTACTTCTGATTAACAACGCCTGCAAGCAGTCTTTCAAGGGTTACAGATCGGGGAAAAAAATTGGTCCGCCGATTTAATATGATATCAAGACAAAATACATCTACAACTGATCTGATCTCGTTCTCCTTGTTTTTACCCACCCTTTTGGTCCCATGATCAAACTGCAGCAGCTGGAAAATCAGACGTTCCTTTTGAAATTAGCTCACTTTTAGAAAGCAAAGTATTTAGTGAAACACCAGTCTAAATTGAAATTGATTGTATCGTATTTAAGTCAACTTCGTATGCAATATGGGAGGGTGAAATTGACATTCTTCCATGCGTGTTTCGTCTCTCTTTAATCATATTTTCTTTTCTTAGGGCGATTCAACCAAATATTTTTTCGACAATTTGGATCGGGTTGGTCGTCCGGTAAGTATAAATTTGCCTTCTGGTGTTGCTTTTCTTTCATTGTGTTAGAAGGACATTCAATCGAGGTTTACGTCTTGTTCAAAGTGTAAACATGCCGACAAAGCCAGAACCAATTTTAAGGAATGTATCGTTGTTAATTTCCTTTTTTGCCCTGCTATTTTTTTGATAGCAAACAGACCTGTTCAAATATTAAATCAGACCCAGTAAAAATGTGATTATTATCAATATTTTATAAATTGATAACTTCGACGCAGATGGAAGGATTTCAAAAGACTGATCATTTCTAGAGTACTGCATTGTAGTGTAGAGTGTAAATTTGGCATTGTTTACCCTTTTTTAGTCTGCGGTTTTCATATTTTCATGGAAAAACTTAGAATTTCCTTTTAAATTTATTTCATATCTTTAAATTTTTTAGATATCTTAAGCATGTTTGGATACTTAAATAATGGGAGCAAGTACTTAAAAATCAAAACTTCCTTTTTTCATCAAAAGCACGCCCTTCAAAAATTGCTGAGCATTTTTGAAAATGATTAACAAAGGTAGCTTTCACGACATCAACTTGGTATTTATGTTAAAGAGATTTTCATTTATCTGGTACAAAAGCTAAGTGCCTTATGCAAGTGTTTAAAGTGGCCATACAAAGATATTTTTATTAACATTGATCTATAAAGTTTAAATCAATGTAGAATTGAAAGTGCATGTCATTGCCCTCAACGAATATTGCTTTTCAGTTGTGTTTCATACCAAACATTTCCTCTGTTTTGCTATGAAAGATGCTAGTACGTTCATTTTCATGTCTAATATGATAAAGCAATTTAGATTGCAATAAGTTCATCAACACAATGTTTCTCTTTTGAAGTTCTATGGCTTTGTGTCTTTGGGTTATACCTTGTACATTGCCTCGTTAGAGAATGGATGTTTTTATGTGTACCATTTGGATGAAAAAATGGCACAAAAGCTACAACTTGTGCTCAACCTTATGCAGTGCATTAAACGTACTGCTTTTAAAAGCGTTGTAGGAAATCACCAATATTGTATTGTTGGTGTGTCTGCATACTTAACATTTCCATAGCAAAATAAAAAGTAGCTCGTAGAACTTATGAAAGCTCTAGGTTTATTGAATGCCTGGATCAAATTTTGTTTACTCAGTTCATTGTCAAGTTTCTGTGTGATTTCTCTGCGAATGAAATTCTTTGTGATCCCAGCCAAGATTAATTTCACCTACTATTAGGACTTGCCAGAAGTACAATGTCTCTTTAACTGATGGTTTGACTAGGCATTAGACATTTTACTTTCTGGTATTCTTGCTCTAGTCTTTCTTTTGAGCCCTCTGACAGCAGTTCTGCATATCAGCTGAAATCAAGTACTTCAAATAGATCAACAGAACAGAAGGCCAGAAGTTGTAAATGTTAAAAGGAAACTAACTTTGGCAAACAATAATATCAATCTTTCTTTGTTGGTGCTGTTCATACTTTTCTTGTTGAGTAACTGTGAAACTTGTACATTTAAACAAAAAAAATCGGTTTTTCCAATACTTAAAATCATACATTCTTTTGGTCCTTATTTATTGCTTTATAGATACACTACCCCACTGTATTTATAAAATTAATGTAATACTGTTAAAAAATTACTTATGTACTCAAGTTGTATGTGCTGTAAGCAATGGCACACCTTTCAACTTGGTTATTAAAACAAAACTATTTACCGGTACACATAAGCCCAACCCTGACTTGTTACTGTTTTTCACTATAAACAGAAAAAAATATATATATTCAAACATTGTGGAAGGTCTATTAACCTGAGATATAAGTTAGGTTTCTGTAAAATAGGCTGGCCTTAGTAGATCAGATGTAACCAAAGCAATTTTATGATGTCTCTGGCGTCAGGTCACAAATCAGGTTCCTTTTCCTATTCCAAGTCACTGTGTATGATCCATATTTATCAACTTTTCGTGATAATCCGTAGCCAAGAAGTAGGCCCTTTGCAACTAGTGATTCACATGGTACAAAACCACCATGTTGGACAGCAAGGTACCCACTGAGACAAGACAAACAGAAAACTCACATCTTTTAAAATGGTAATTTCCTTTATTTGTCTTCTCCCAGCATTTCTCTTGCTCTCTATCATGACGGTTTTGTAGCACGCGAATGGTTAGCTGCTAAGGGCCTATTATGCCCTGTAACATACTTGTCCAGCTAAAGTTGACTGGCAAAGTGTCAAATATTGTAAAGGAGTAGTGACATTTAACTTGGGTTCGTCCTGGTCAAGTAACTCCATGGGTTAGTTTTTATTCATTTTATTCATGCTTTGTTCTTTATCAAAGGACTACTTGCCCACAAGACAAGATGCTCTTCATGCAAGGAAAGCAACAAAGGGCATTGTGGAACATGAATTTATCATTAAGGGAATCCCATTCAAAATGGTTGATGTTGGTGGTCAGAGATCTCAAAGAGCCAAGTGGTTTCAGTGCTTTGATGAAGTAACCTCGATTCTTTTCTTGGTGTCGTCAAGTGCATATGATCAAGTTCTTATGGAGGATAGAACAACAAATCGTCTTGTGGAGTCATGCAATATCTTTGAGACTATAGTCAACAACAAATTCTTTGCCAATGTGTCAATAATCCTTTTCCTCAACAAAACAGATCTTTTAATGGAAAAGATCAAATATGCAAATATAAAGGACTACTTCCCAGCTTTTCAAGGGGAACCGCGAAGATTGGAAGATGTGCAGAACTTTATATTACAGATGTTTGACAGCAAGCGTCGAGAGAGGTCTAAAGCCCTTTTCCATCACTTTACAACGGCAATCGACACAGAAAATATCAAGTTTGTTTTCCATGCGGTGAAGGACACTATATTACAAGACAATCTCAAGTCTTTGATGCTCCAGTAACTGAGACAAGCTAGAAAAAAAAAAGCACCAAACCGTGGCAGAAGTTGTGTTCAAGATAATATTGCCATTTAAAGGGTATTATTCATGGTTGAAGGGAGATTGATCTACAGGTCACAGGAAAGATTGAGATGCTTCTATACCTAAAGAGTTCAATGTCGGTCAGAAGCAATGCTCAAGGCATTCCAAGTTTTGGCTGCGTCTATAAGAATGTCTAAATACAAAGAAAGCTAATTTGCAATAGCATACTCACTGACTGCAATGTAATTTTTTACGTATTTCTTAGAGTACTTATGTGTAGTTTAGTGCATAGGTTGTGAATTATTCTATTCTATTTGTTTATACTAGTCAGTTTTCATAAATAATATTGTGGTTATTGTCACAGAGAAAAGTGCTAATCTATACAGGCTTTGATCAGCTGTTTGATAAAAATGATTATTATAAAGTTTGATAAAATCTTGGACATTGTAACTTATTCCGTACATGTGTAAGCTTTGTCTCTCGAGTACTTATGTAAAGATAGTAGATGTATACATTAAATAGTGATTGCTCCTCCTTGAATACTCCTTTAAAATACTAACATAAACTTTTATAAATACTAGTTGATGGAAAGTGGTAAATGTGATGGATGGTGTGTGGATGGTACAGTTTAAAATGAATTTCAAGTCAACATGATTTTTAGTTATGGTCAAACCTCATATGGTTGAATCTAAAATGTCAAAACCTGGCAGTCACTTGTAGGAGTAACTTGTGAGAAGTTCTTGCTATAGTCGTGATGGACAATTGCAGGTAGAGATTTGTCTTGAGATTTATGTACATTTTTTTGGTGACATGTTTAAGGATTATGATAATAAATTTGTAACAAAGGACAGTAGGAATTCAAGTGAATTTAGTTTTAATCATTTTGACTTGAAATTCTTTTTTAAAGACTTCTTCAAGAAAGAGGAAAAGCTATATGCACCAAGCATAAGTTTAACCAGCAAGCATTTTCTTGTTACTGCAAAACAGTGGTGTATTTACAAGATTAAGGTAATATTTACATGTCAAGTGAAAACTCATTGTTGCTTGTGCTAGCTTGACCACCCTCTAAGCAGAAGTTTTCTTTAAATTCACATTCCAATGCTCAGTAGTTTACTCTTTAATGAAATATGAAAGCTGTAAAAACAAAAACTAACCCTTACCATCATATGTTTTTTTGGCTTTTACTGCCCATGTGAATAACAAAACCACAATCCTCAAGTGGACATTTACTTGATTATTTCTGGTGCTATGAATTCTTGGCTTCTCTTTTGATTGGTTTTCTTCCTTAGCTTTTGGAAACAACCTTTTGATCAATCTTGCATCTTGTGGTTTACTTCTTATCTGTTGGGCCTTTTTGCAGATAGACATTAATCCCAGACAGTTCTCTGTTTATTTTGTCTTAAGTAATAAAGTAATAAGATCATTCAAGTTTTGTTGCTAAGATAGGACGGGGCTGTGTTCTAATGACTAGAATATTATTGTTAGGAACCCAAAGCTTTGAACTAAGATTTCTTAGTCACTCAAGGAGAAAGTAAATCAGAAGGAGCCACTTGGCACTGCTAAATTACAGCCCTGTAGAATGAAAAATGTTCTCAAGATAGATAACTGTTTTTTGGTGAATTCTTTTAGCGCTATCTGATATACAGAATGAACTTTCTCTTTCAATCTGATTTGGAAACTTGTGCACAAGTGACATCTTCAATCAAATGAAGTTGACTTACTATCAACAACTTTACTATTATTACAACATAATGTAATGGGGCAAAGGAATTGATTTTCCGTAGAATTAGAAAAGCTTTATTGTAATATTATTTGGGGTGAATGCAGGGCTTAAATGCCATATTATGGATCCTCTGCTGCTGCCAGTTCAATGATTTCTTGAAAAATGTAACTAGCAGTTTGCAGAAGAACTTCAGACATATTACCATGCCATATTACTAATATTGTGTAACATGGTTACATGTACACACATTGGCTATATAAAAAAGATAATATTGCATATTGCTACAAATCTTCTTGTCTGGCTCTCAGATTAAGTTACCATTTTTCATTTGCACATTAATAATAAATATGGTATAGACCCCCCTGTAGAATGAACATTCATCATTAGTAAGCTGGTTGCACCCATTTGTTTGTGAATTATGGCAGAAAGTTAGAGTTAATCCCTGAGGATGTCTTGTTGAAAGAAAGTTGGCAGTGGTTATCTCCAGCCATGCTGTGGTTTTTTGCAGTTGTTATTGCCACCTTTTAACACAGAATGAATAGGAAAATGTGTAATGTGAGTAGGACAAGGAGATAACTTATGCATTTAACCATTCATAATATAATTTATGCTAGTGAATTTGTTTCATTATTTATAGCTGGATGCATAATTAATCAAAAACAAACTTACGACACTGACAACAAAAACACCTTTGCAACTAGCCTAAAAACCTAAAAGCCAAACAAAAAAACCTTAACCAAAACCTTAACATGATCAGGGTGGGATAGATGTGGAACATACATTAAAATAATTATAACTTTCAGGGTTCTCATTAAGTTGTAAAGTAGACACCTAGCATGTAAAAGTAGGCATGCAGCTTTGTAATCGAGTGCTGTAGGCAAATTTAGTCTTTCACTCGCTCACTAAACCCTTTTTCCCCAAAAAGTAGATGGCTCAAACCTCCAAGTAGCCGTTTTTTTAGCCGGCTGCCGGCACTTAATGAGAACCCTGACTTTTAAATATGTAGCCCTCAAAAAGTTAAAAGTGCGAAAAAGGTTCTCACTACTTTCCAGCAACTAGTAACTTAAAAGTTAAGTATTCCTTTTCAGTTGTTGCCATTCTCATTTACTCTCAAACGTTTTCACAAGTTCTGCTCAAAAAAACGCTTTGTATAAGGAGCTGCAATCTACAGACAATATTGGACAGATACGTTGTTTTAGTTACTTATTGATTTTCATTGGTCAAAGTTATTTTAGATATAAAAAAAAGATATTTTTTGATTTTGTAGTAGTTCTCATAAAATTGGTAGTATAACGCTTCATGTAAAGTTTGATAAGAGGCCTGATGTCAAAGAGTAAAATGTATTATTACAGCCTAGTGTGGTTGCTTGTGTTGTCGTGAAACTCCTATTTTTTTATTCTTTGAATCTCTCTCAGAGTCTTAGCCTAAGAAAACAGCCTGGTTTTTCTATGGAACAAGCAGAGAAATTCCACACTGACGACATCTGGATAGTGCTTCTGATTGGTTGAAGTCAAATTTTCCCTTTGACTCACTGGTGTACATAGGCAAATTGAAGGAGAATCTGCCAGTTTTTCAGAAGTTGGTCAGAGTTTTATTCCAGGCACCACTTCTGTTAGAATTCAGTACTCTAATAGACCTTTGTCACAAGGTGGCCATTTTGTCTCAGGAGTTTTAAAAAGCTTTGTTTATGTACGGCTAGCCTCGTTCTCTCCATGAGGCTAGCCTTGCATGAACAAAGCTTTTTAAATCTCCTGAGACAAAATGTTCGACATGTGACAAAGGGCTATAGATTGTAGACTTGGAAGGTTGATCTGAACAGGAGATGTGTCGTGCAGAAGGTAGACATGAGAAAGAAAGTGGCTGCTTAATGGGTATTCTGTTTACTGGAATCTACTGATTATTTATTTAGAAAACCACTGCCTCACTTCTCTTCTGTGTATTGCTGGTGTTTCTGTGGCATTTGGGGCCTTTTCAGAGCAAGTTTTAAGTGCACTGTTTTCCTTGCGAAAATGATATGTGGCAAGGAAAACAGTGAACTCAAAACTTGCTGGAACTGCTCTGAAATGGCCCCAAATGCCACAGAACTACAAGTAATACACACAAGAGGAGGAGTCTGACAGTCATCAGGGACCTTAAGCTACCTTGATGTCCTGGACGTCAAAAAAGGCAACCATAATTTGATATTTTCTCTCTTTCGGTGTTCTGACTCAACAAATTCGTACTGGGGTAGTAAAACAAGGCCATTCAGATTCGTTGTGCAAGACAGAAGCATTCCATCAAGCAAGACATCGAACTTCCAGTTGCTATTGATGACGTCCAGGACATCAGCATTCTTGTTGTGTAAGCTCGCTAATATTTATTTCAGTTCCTTCACATTATTTTGAACTGCTCTGCGTGACTGAACACTCCCATACAAACTCTTACATTTATGCTGTCACACCATGTAACATTATGTCGATGGCTACAATGATGATTGGGCTACCTGTGGCTCATGAGGTAGGGGTTGGGGTAAGAGAGGGGTTTGCAGTTATAACTGCCATAGTTTCATTAATTTTATTGGGTGGAAATAAACAACAAATTTGTATACTAGGTTATATGTTTATTACTCTTCAAAGGCAAGTTCTGACTTGACTGCATTAATTTTTTTACCTGCACTAGTTGTTTAACATCCGTTTTACAGATCATTAGTTTTTAACTGTCCAATAGTTAACTGCAATTATTATGCTATAAAATAAATAAACATCACTGACAGTATATTCCATGTAGTAATAAAAATGATTGGTGCCTTAAAACATCTTACAACTCAATACTTAAACGAGTTAAATACAATTAATACAATGTAATTCAGGTGAAACAAAGCTTATAATGTGCTTTTAAACTTTCCTCAACATTTACAATATTATCTTCAGCTGGTTTTAAATACAAGTTTAATTAAATGAACATTTTTTGTTTTGGTCATAACATCCATGCTTTAGCATCCATGTTTTATCTTTGATCTGGCCATTCCTACTTTATGCTTCTTTTCCCATAATTGCAGTCTATCATACCTTTGGTGATATCGGTCAGTCAGTCTGGTAGAGGTTTTACAATGCTTAGTTTTATGTACACATTTTATTTTGAGGAAAGGGTAGTGTGGGTAGAGCTGTGCTTTAGCAGCACCCATTGGCCCCTGGTGCTTCACTTCTGCTCTTGGGCAACCAGTAAACCGTAGCTTTTTTCAAAGAAAATCCCTACACTGAACACTTTGAATTTCACAGGTTCAGAGCACCTTCACTCAATTTTTTTTTAGAACGCAGCCTCATTGGGCGATGGAAAATGAAGTATTTTGCAGCAATGGCCTTATTAATGAGAAATAGACAGTATTTAAATACTTTCATTGCTATAGCCTGCATTTGTAGCAGTTGTCGCCATTTTAAAGTACATAAGGCAGAAGAAGATTACAGTATCTTCCACTGCTGAATGTGACCCTTTTTCTGCTCTTTCTAGCACCCTATGCCCTATCTCCCTATGAAACGAAAGATTCTGCAAACTGCTCATGTGCCCCTCGCCTGTAAACCCAACATTTTGCTTTAACCCATTCGCCCCTGAACCGCCCGTAACCGCCCGTGCGGATCCAGGTCCTTTCTACCCTTTGTGACGTCATCAGTTTTAACGGTCAAGGACAACTTTCTTCGGTAACTTGTGCAGAGTGAAGAGATCTTTCAAACCATACCAGAATGACCACAATTCAGTCAAGGACACCGGAGAAAGAAGCAAAAAACCACGTGACAAGGACCTGAAAATCTCCATGAAAATCTTGTTCCATTACCCACCTACCTTTCCTTTCACCTAATCCTAAGATCCTAAAAGCTTTCCTAAAAACTCTTCCCACCAAAATGAAGCCTACTAAATGCCCAGCAAGAGAAAAAAAAAATGAGGCAAGAAAAGCGAAAAAAGAAGGGAGGAGAGAAAGCGAAAAGTAAAAGTCAAGACTGCTGTGTCACTTTTAAACCCAAAAACTATGTCGAAATTTTGCTTTCTGCGCATGCCCGAACTTCGCAAGCTGATATTTTGCATCTGGATCAGAAGGCCGCCAAGTGTACGACCTGTAGACCGGTTTGTGGTAAGTTTTAGCTCTTTATAGCACGACAGTGACCAGAAAACCACTCGACTAGCTTCAAAACGCGTTTTTCGGCAAAATCTCCAGGAGCGAATGGGTTAAGGAGGAAGTTCAGTAACTAGTGTCAATGTTGGGTTAGGCAAGGGGTAAGTAGAATCTTATGCTAATTCAAAACAACTACACAAAGCAGGCGATCAGCACTGTGTATCAGTCTGATTTGGAATGTCTTGTCACAGGACTTGGTGAAGTCTCCAAGCTTAAATTCCAATGTGGAAATAAATACTGAACTGTCCCTTGCAACTTCTGTGCTAGGCTGAATCCAATAGTGGCAGAGGTCCACGTCAACATTGCCAGAACTGTCACACAGACAGAGACAAAGAAGACAAAAAATATGACAGCACTAAGCAACGAGAGTGCAAACATCAGTAGTGTTCCTTCAATCAATGCAAATCCAAGGATTGTAAAGAGAAGACTGTAAAGCACAAATGACATAAACAGCACAACAGGCAAAGCAGAAAGCCCCACAAAAATGGCAATGAACATGGTGACTATGGGGTGCTCCATGATAAAAGCAAACACAGATGCCAGAATGGAGCCAACATTGGAGGTGTACTTCCATGTCTGGGAAATCTGCAAACTTGAATCTCCTCGTCTGCTTATTTCATGTGACATTTTTCCCTATTTGAAAGAAATGAAGGTGATGCTTAGAACTTATTTATTAAAGGGGTATAGAATGGTCAATCAAATATGATATGTCTTAAAAATATATCACCTGAGTCTCAAAAAACATGGCATTTAAAATAAGAGTCTCAGAGCCTCACTCTCCCTGAAAAATGACTCATCTTGAAGTCTCAAATTTGGATAATATGGATCTCGAAATCTTGAAAATTGTACCCAATATTTAGCCATAAATATTCTGGGAGGCAAGTTCTACAAACAAGAAAAATGGGCTTCTGCTAGCTTCCACTGGCATTCCAGTCATTTTATTTTGCTTTATTTGTGCCATTACCCCCCAAAGTTTTGGGGCCTAGAGTTTTGGGCTTGGATGTTTTGGAAGTAAAGTGTCAGGCTCAAATGTGATAAAAATGCTTCAGTCTCTGCTCAAGGCTTAGGCTTGAGATAAAGCTGCCATAGCATTATTGTTTTATAAATAGGCAGGGATAACACATTTACCATGGTTCTCCCGAAAAATTTGTAGTAGAAGGAGAAAACCATTAAGTAGGCGGCAACTAGTTAGATTTGAGATGTATGTTTTTAAAGTGGCAGAACTGTGTGTAGGGGTGCACACTGATAGGAAGAGAAATACTCCCCTTTCACTGTTTCAAACATTGATCCCAACTAGGTCTACCTTCTCAAGCATTCTGTTTGTTTCAGAATCTTCCACTAGAACAAACTGGATTTTCTGGAAACTTTTCTTTTTAACCAGTGCTTTTTGTCCTAAACAGGGTCGGGTTTCATATAGCCCCAGTGGCTCCCATGAGAACAAACGAAGTACCCTTCACAGCACTACCACAAGACAGAAGACACCTTCACGTATGAGTTACAAAATCTAGGTGGTGCCAACTAAATTTAAAACCAGACCAATAGCTGTAAGGATGTCCACTCACGTATGATGTGTAAGTAAATGGATTGACGTCGCTACGATTATATTACAATGCAAAGTAGTGTCGCTGCATGCAGATTATGTTGATTTTGACATCCCATATTGCTAAAAAAAATCACGTCTTACAGCTATTAAAACCCTGATATATATAGAAACATCACTAAGGCTTTTCACGAGGAAAAGAGCACTTTCAGCGGTTCGAGTTTACATCGAAACAAGCAGAATACGAAACTTAAGAAAAACTAAGAAATTGACACAATACATTGAAGATGTTTCAGCTTGTAAGCTTACCCTAGAAAACTGCATGGAACTATGAGAAACTTGCAGATCACGTTACCTACAGAAGAAAGTTCACTCACAATTATATTTGTCTGGGGTCACTCAAAAGGCTCAGAAATCTTGCAACAACGCTGAATTTCTTCGCAAAACAAGTGGCAACCATTTTGACTCCCACACGTACTTGAGCTTGCTGAAACAGACCTCTAATTTAAATTTTCGCTATTGTCTGATGTTGTTGACTTCCTTTTTCGCTCTAGCGCGAAACTGGGCACGATATGAAAGGGATTGTGGGAAGAGTTGTCAGGGCAGGCAACGCGTGCAAAATGGGCACCCAGAGCTAGGCGGGGTAAAAGTTATTCATCTTCTTCAGTGAAAGATGGGAAGTGGCCGATCGCGGTTAAATTAAGAAAGAAAAGATTTTAACTGAATAAACACTAGCGATGTTTTATAAACGGGTCAAGGATACAAACTTGTTTAATTAGAACCTCGACCAGTGTAAGAGAACGTTAAGGCTGAAAGAACTTAACGTCTAAGTTGCGGTACACCCTGCTTTAGGATCAAAACAATGCAGTTATTAGATCGAGTGAGCGTAACAAGAAAGTGGTACTGGAACCATAAATTTTGCAAATAGATAAACCACAGCGGCACCCAACGACGGTTTCCAACCTTAATGCATTGAAAACACTTTTCAGGCTATCCCGCCAAATTTAAGAGCTCTAGAAATGCATTCTAAGCGGCGCTATAAAACTTGTATCTCCTCGGTCATAAGGCGAACTTGAGTCTTTTCGAAATTATAAGGGCTTCGGTAATTTTTTTTATTTTCTAGAAAATTTTAGGTGCAATTTAACGTATGACGAAAGTGAGAATTTTTCTGAGTCTTCTTTCCATCACATATTTCAATCTGAACATTTTAAGTTTCCTTTTTTCTTCAAAAAATAGCCTAATCTGGGGAGTGAAATGTGAAAAATTAAACTTCAAAAATCGTACGGGATTTATTAGATAAACTTCAAAAATTGTACATGAAAGGAACTGTCATCTGGAAAGTTTTAGCCGTCCTCAAGTAATAGAAAATTTTTGGCAATACTGATTTGCTTTCCGAACCGATATTTTACAGAAAATAGTCGTCGGATCCCCCTTAAACCAGGCTGTGCCCAGACAATCTTTCAAGTCGCAGTTTTGTTGATTATCATAAAAAGGAGATAAAAAAGCGGAAACAGGGTTTTGTCGCATGGATGGGAGAGGAGATCTCTTATTTCGCTCTTTCTCCCCTTTTGCTCTTCAATTCGATAAATGGAGAGATTAAGCAATTTTGCGTCGTAGTCGTGCAATGAAGGCAAAGAAATGAACCAAACTGTTTGCCGCACGTGAAAAGTTGTTCTTTTGCTACTGACCTCATTCTTTTGCTTTTTTGAACACATTTAACAAAATCTTATTGCTTCAGAAAAAAGTTCTCCGTTTTATATTTTTTGCCAACAGGAATGTTCATGCCATTCCTCTTTTTATTGTTGCAAATATCCTGTCAATTAGCTTTCTCTATTTTAAGTCCGTATCTTACCTAATGCATTATATCCATACTAATACTGCACCCTCAAAAATTGTTAATTTGTTCCCGCAGACATCATCTATTCATGAATATAACAGAAGATCATTCTGTAAGAATGATATGTACATCAAAAAATTGAATATTGAAAAACTAAGACAAGTAGTCCCAATTTTTGGCGCTAAATTATGGAATGAGACAGCAGGTAGAATGAAAGATATGTCAAAAAAATGTTTAAACGAAAATTAATCAGTGTGCTCTTTGAAATATTAAAAGACAGCGATGATTACCTTGATGCAACCATGATAACACGAGAAATAAAATCGCGAAATCCTAATCCTTAGCTTTTTTCACAGGTTGCATTAAACAGAATTGTCTTTCTTGCTTATGACTTTATTACACATATTTCTTTCTTTTTTTTTTTCTTTGTTTTTTACTTATTACCTGTAATATCTGAATTGTAATAGAATTAATTTGGCAAGCCTCGACTAGCGTTTTTTTTTTGCTAACTGCGTGCCACGAAATTGTACAGGCAATATTATGATAATAAATGTCTTGTCTTGTCTTGTCTTGTCTCCTCGTTCCCGTCACCGTCGTAACATCTTTAACTCTCTTAAAAGTAACTGAGGAGATCAACGTTTCTTTATTAACTTAGAGTCATTTTTGGGTATTAACTTCCCATGAATTCCCTAGGTTCTGTTACTTCCGCGTTTCGTGATCTGAAGTTTGTCAGGTAATTGATACCTTATAGCAGCTCCTATAACCAAGCAGATGTTGTCTTAAAACATGCTAATTCATACACGGAAACGCTCTAATAGAATAATTTATTCATCAAACGCTGGTGTGTGACTTTATTAATTCAGCATGTTACCTATATCTTCAAGTACAGTTGCTAAATTCACCTCTGACTTTTACTTTATTGAATTTCTTTTCTTCTTCGCTGGAGCTTCAAATGGCATCAAAGAGCGATGGGCTCATCACACGACAGATGGCAGTATTCTTCTTGTTGTGATCATAGTTTCTGGGATTGTGTTGATTCCGTTAGTCACTTATTTAGGGGAATGCAAACGTTTTGGAAAAGTACTCAGTCATCTTTGGATGGGCGTGCTTTTCAGTGTTTTATCCTTTACAGAGATTGCCTTCGATCATCCAATAGATTCTCTTCAAGACTTGGATTTCACTGATTTTCTTGTAATAACGAGCACAGTATTCCATGTCCTCAAAACTCTTACTGTAAGAATCTGTGGGACAGCTTCTTATGAATCGATCTTCCTTTCAACAGAGGAGTGCATGTATCTTGTGGGATTTCTGTGTACTACTGGAACGATGCACTTTGCAAGCATGCTAACAATAACTGTTCAGACTGTTGCAGTCACAGTTCACCTAATGGCGTTTCATATGAAGTCAAGCGTGACCCTTTTGAGTGCTTGCTGTCTATGCTTTTTGGGAAGTGTGCATTTCGTTTCAGCCATTGATGTCCATTACAACCCATACATTTTATTATGTTTCATTGTCCATCTTTTCTTCGAATCAGTTATTGATATTTACTTCTCAAGGTTGTCTTTGTTAGGGACCTGGAAGAAATTTATCTTTTACGGTTGCTTGGCTCACAGATTACAGATACTTGCAATTGTGGTTTTGGAAGTCCTTTTCTATGTATCAGGCATGCAGCTTTTTTATGAACCTGATCTGCCAGTATATAGAAAGCTCATCTTCGTACTGATGTTCTTTTACTGGGTGCCAATCCATATTATGTTTATTTTAACTTGTTGGAGATTTGTTGGAAAGCTTGAGGAATGCGCTAACATTGCAGACTCAACGGGAAATTTCAGTGATAGCGCCATGTCTCATATAATGGCATCAAAGGGAGTCAGGCACTTATCTCTAGTCTTAATCAATGTTACATTTTGTACGATAATTTCAACAGTTATTGCAATTGCATCATCGTGGCAGGGAAAAAATCCATGCTTAATCGGGATGATGTTTATTGTTCTTCCTATAGAGTTACTTGTGCATGACTTCATAAACAATCTTGGTAAGTCTGTGGGAGGAACAGCAATCGGTTATTCCATAGTCGTACCTGATTGTAAGTACAGCCCTACTGGGGAAGTAATCGGTCTTGCAGAAAGTGTTTTCCAATTTGTCTACACCAAAGCAACAGAACTTACCTTAATAGTGTCTAGATTTTTCTCGAGACACATGATTTACGACTATGGTGCTGACGTTTTGCCAAGTGGTATCTCAGCTGACGAAATAGAGAAAAAGATAACTTCATTTTTTCATCAACGTGTTCTTCCTTCCCAAGCGAGTTTGCACTATGACACATACATTCTTTACTACAGTGGACATGTGAAGGATAATGGTGACTGGCTGCTTAGAGAGAACAAGACACTCTCACTTAACAGCATCTTAACATGGTGGGGAAACACAAATGCCGAAACAGGTGCGAGACTCATATTACTGCTAGATACTTCACATTCTCATAAATGGGTGAATGATATTTGGCAAGTTGAAAATGACTTTATTGCCATCCAAACTGGCAAACTGACAGCCACTTTTGATGCAGAGGAAGGAAACGTTTTTGCTTTGGGTACAATTACAAAACTATGGGACAATTTTAACACATCTCAAGATGCGTCCACACCAGAGCACAAGTGGGACGAAGACAGCGCAAAAGTCGAGCTATTATATGGTGTTTCTAAAAAATGGTCTTTTTTTAAGTTTCATGAGCCAACAAAGGGAGATATTGCTTTGCACCTGGAACAAAACTTTCCACAATTCATCGGACCAGTCACTGAGTTATTCACCCATTCTCCCTATAATTCTCATGGTCTATGCATGTTCAAAAGCTGGTTTATGGGCGTTTGCCGTCAAATAAAGTTGCGTTGGTTCCCTCCAGCAGTTTATGACACCGGTCATGGATTCTGGTTCATTATGTGTCAAAGACGAACATTTTCTTAAGCCAAAAAGTAAAGTAAATATTTTACAAGAAGAAATCCCTTTATTTTCCTTAATGCGATGGCAAGTGACGTGGACACAGAATGTGATCATCAATGCGCAAAATCCGCAATAGTTGCGCCACAGGGCACCCATACAGTAGCTGGAATTGTATGTGCCAGTCAGAAACCATCTACGTGATTACTGACAGTTACTCCACCAATCAAACTTGATCATTTCCATCTCCTTTGGCAATCCATGCTCAATCTCAATCGAATATTAGCAATTTGGGTGACATTGTTGCCAGCAAGCTATGATGGAAAGCATACTGCAGAAAAACGCCTTGGGCATAATACTTCCCTCGTTTCGCTATTTTGAGGCCAGGTCATGACGGAACTCAGTTGCCTAAATTACCACACTAGTATAGGCTCAGAGGTGGTAATCATTCTAATAGTGGTTGCACACATACGAGAAGTCGTTACGTCACGTTGCCATGGTAGCAAAATTTCTGGATGTCAAAAAACCGAAAATTTCTCTTAAAAAGAGAATTCGCACTGTTTCAAACTTCATCGAAATTATTCAGTGTCATCTAATTTGTCAAATGTTGGCGAAATTTTCTGGGGTTGAGTCCCAAAGACCGAATCTAAGCTTAAAAAAAGAAAGAAAAAATTTTCTGTTGTGTTCACCTACTCCGTAAAGCAGGCACGTGAAATTATGAAGTTTCATGTCGAAGTCGTGCAACGACGGCTAAAAAATGTACAAAAACGCGTGATCGATGCACATACAAAGTTGTTATTTTGCTAATATAAAACTATTGCTTTTTTGCCGTTTTCATTGCCGTCACCGTCGTCGTTGCTTAAGCTTCCTATTGTTGTGATCCAGAAATTTTGCTACCATGGTAACGTGACGTCACACCTCTCTCTATTACCTAGGGAACAGCTTATTGACCATAAAAGGAGCCTATAATACACAATAGGATCCCGCACTTTCCGCATAGGTGTAATCTTAGTCCAGACACTGTTTGTAAAAAGGTTCCATTTGCAGTTGGTGACTGTCAGACTTGTAGAACACGTCGCGACAGAGGAAACTCTATGACTTTTATATTTTAGTTAACCTTTTTGTAGATTGTTGTGTAGATGACAATAGCCGAGGACTAATAAGCTCCTAAGTATGATTTATCCTTATACATTTTAAATGTTATATTGTCTAAGCTTCTTGAGTCAAGAGCTTGGTCGCAGGCTAAAAGTCCTAGTGAATACCATATTTGCAGACAAAAATCTCTTCCGTATGCTAAATTACAAGGCACGATAAAAAAGACACGATGCATGTACAAAATACGATAATGAAGTGGTAAAAATGAAGTGATGTGATACTAAGTACCCTGCAAAAGAAAAGAAAATAAGTTGAGATTATTAAATTAAGAGCTATTGGAGTCAAACGTCAAGCACTTGGGTGATTTGTCTATAGCATTTGGTTTTTGTTTAATATTGATCATTGGTATCAAATTAATTTAATCGATTCACAGTTTTAATACAATGACGTTGGCATTAGTCTTAACTGACTGGACAACTGACAATTTGACTAACAATAAACTACTGTTTAACGGTGACAATAGACTGATCGAAACGCACCAATGACATTACGAGTCTTCATACTAATAACATCACGGCTTACGGTAACTGAGAGAAGACCAATAGCATCGCGACTTAATTGGACCAATCCGGTCAATGACCAGAGTTTAATACTATCAACTGACTTGATACAACTAAAGATGACTACCGCACAGGTTGTCGAAACGGAAGTAAAGTTCACCTGGACGATCATACTCAACCTACTTATAAAATAATTTAGTCGGGCTTTGCAAGCGGGTCCGCACGGTTTTGAAGTTTCTGAAATTTACCAGACAAGAGTTTGCTACAAAATTTGAAGTATGATTTCACATAATGATAGAGAAAGAAATGGGCTGCATTCGAGAAGTTTAAGCCGTCATTCGGCAGCCCAGTGCCAAGGCGTGCTCTCTTGCCCTGTTGTCTGCGTGAAGTCTGGAAAGAGGTGGGCGAGTGACGCGAGACTCTCTAGGTGACGTCACCGCGCAAAAGTAGATTCCAGGTTTGACCAAGCCGAGCGCCTGGGTACTAGGCCGGTTATTTAGTACTTTGCCCAGAACAGGATTAGGTAATTTGGTCACGTGATGTACCACGTGACCAAAATATTCACTCAAGAACTGCCCAATTATGGGCTCCCGCTTCGGTGGATTAAAAAAACCAGTTTTTTTATAGAAGAATAAAAGGTAGTCTTGTTTACGTTTTAAGTCATTTTATGCGGGGCAAGGGTATGGGTTGGATCTCGTTTTGCCCGATTTTAGCCAGATATGACTTTCGCGGAGAACAACGATCGGTGACCCCTCTCTCAATATTTTCCATCACATGACCAAGTTTTTACCAGTCTATAAATTCGTTGTTTGACAAACCTCAAACAGTGCACCAAATTCAGCTTTAAGAGGGAATAAGTCAGCAATTGAAGAAGAGAAAAATAATTCAATACACTTTATTATGGCCTGCACAACTTTGGTTATGTACAAATCTCACATTATATTATTTGTTTATTACGGTTTTTCATACTAAACTTCATAAATAGTCTTATCATCAACTTCTGTCTCTATACTTACACTTGAAAGTTAGGTCTAATTTTCACGATGGATTCGCCCATCTTGCTTAACTAGGGTTTATCCAATTGGCTGTGTTCTGATAAAAGCTTGCACAAGATTGCCACGAATCTCCTCCATCTAGACGAGATTTGTAACACACGTATGAATATTACCTGCCACCTAAGTTTATCTTGCTGAAGCCCCGCACATTTTTCTTATTTTCATATTTTCTCTTCAGTAACGAGTCAAGAGTAGCAAGTTTTTCCAAGCATAGGAACATTCCTTTAAACGATGATCAAACGAACGGAAACGAAGTGAGGGGGTTGCGTTCAAAGGCCCTCATATAACGACGCAAAAATACTGTTTGAAAGACAATTTATACTTAAGTTTCTGAAAACACCAATAATATCGTACCGAAAGGTTCGAATATAACGAGAACTGGGGAAAAACAAAACTACAACAACAACAACAAACAAGAGTACGATTCTTAAAACGAATGTCAACAGTTACAACACCAAATCCAACAATAAACTCATAGAAGTGGTTTACGTTCTAATTCGCTTCGCTCAAACGAACGTAAATTATTTACCGCTTAACTAACCGCAAAAACCAGGCGAAATCAGATGGGGGTGGATCGCGTAAAGTCCGAGGAGCGAACGCAGAAATTTCATAGTGCTTTTGATTGGTTGAGGCAAATCTCCCTTGCGGCATGACCAATCAGAAGTACTATCCCAAACTGGTTGGTGACACGTCATCAGCACGGTATTTCGCGGGGCAACCATTCCTGGTGTCGAGCAATGTCGGCTGTTTTCACAGGCTACATTTTTTCCTGTCCCAGGATTTCAGATAAAGGGAAGTGCCATTTTCCCTTCTATCAAAACGCCTGGAACAGAAGAACCGAAAATGGAGACAAGTTTCTCTTCCGTTGAACAAGTTTCAACTTGTTATACGAGGGCCATCTAAGTGCTTTACAAGTCTACTTGTGGATAGACGTTTGTATACGTTAACGACATGTGTGTAGACACAGTCATAGGCATGTCTAACTACACCGTACAGCGTTTTTATGTCGAAATTAAAACCTATCCGGTAAAGAGTGTTTTCACATGACGTCACGGCGGCCATATTGGTGTTCCAAACAATGAAACGGCGGCCATGTTGGTGTCCCAAACCAATCCTGTCGGAGTTGAACTCCTTTCTTAAGTTATGCAAAATCTTTCTTTTGTTCCAAAAATTTGCATAGATGTTGGTCACGTGAGTGAAAACACTCTATAGTGAGAATACTTCTATTCACACTGCGCTAAAGAGTGGCAGAGAAACCTATCCCGCGCGGCGTTTCGCTCCGTTAAAGAAACCGCGCTGAAATCACTATTCTCATGCGCGAACAGACTCCCCTTTCCCATATGCTGGTTGACACTCCAACGTAAAAGCAACCGGTATAGTGTAGACATAGCCTAAATGTTGCCGTGTTATTTCCAGCAGACATTCAATGGTGGGTATACATAACGACATTAGAGATCAGCGAATAGTAAAAAAAGGTATTTGGGGATTCAGCAATCAAAAGGTTAATCTGTACAAGATGGACCCCTATAGATCTTAGGGGGGAAAATCTCTTAATTCATAATAAATTATAACTATTTTATAAACAGACGGTTACTGTTTACTCTATATTAGTCAAACGCTTGTAAAGTAACCAGAAGACGATGCTGCGAGAGCCTCTGAACGTAACCTCAGAAACAGCTTTCCTCGTCGCCAAGGGTTCTGAAGTTGAAGGGGTTTAAAATCGTCTTTAAAACACTTTTCCTGTCCACCAATTACCGCTACTAAACACAAGTCTTTTGTTTTCTGCTCGGAAAGTTGTGTATGCCGGCGTGGCACAGGTTTGTCCCTGTCTTGACATTTCTTGTGAAGCTGTTGCACGACCATTTTCACTACCTGGTCTGCCCTTGTGTTGGGAGTGACATGGAGCTAACAGAAAAATAGAAATACAGTTGGCACTTTATCCTTTTAAACCCTAACATCAAAATTTGAATTCTCATTTGTTGCCCCTACTCTTCTCCTTCAGAAGTAGTGGGGAGAAGTTGATAAAATATCAAACAAATTCATCTTGTGTGATCATGTCCGTAATTCTCATGACCACTCTCTTTTACAAACAATGATATTACAAGGAGAAATTTGATGCTGATCACTACTAGGGCTTAAAGGGTTAAACGGACACCGGCTTGATACGGACTCCTCATTACAGTCAGACCCCGTTAATACCCCGTCTCTCCCCAGCCCCACGCGGTTCTCGCGCAATGTTTCTCGATCCGCTTCCCCCGCGATCTTGAATGACACTTGATGTGTCATATACGATATCAGTATCAATCACTCCATGTATAAGTGCGGTTCTTTTGAGTGGGAAGACGCTATGCTCGGGATATATCGTCAATAACGTGAGTAGCTGTTTTGATATTCTGAATCCTCCTCAATTACGAACGCTAAGTAACGTTTCAAGCAAAAAGCAGTTACTGAACTGAGTTCTCCCCCTATCAACGTATCTCTTCATGTCTACCTAAAATTTCCGAGTAGTTCAGCACTTGAGGCAGTGTGATCTACATTTAAGTATCAGGAGATGAGGAGCTCACTAAATGACGACGGCGACGTAACCACAACGTGAAAAAAAGAAAAAATACAACTCTGTTAGGTTCATCATACTTTTTAGTGCATTTCTTTGCCTCCTTCTGCACAACTACGACGTGAAATTTCCTAATGCGACGTTAAATGGCGGACTGAATGAATGAATGAATTCTCAGGGAACCACCCAAGTTAAGGAGAAGGAAATCCCTAATGGTGCCGTCGATTGGAGAAAGCTCGGATTTCTAACTTTTATTTCAATTTAACAGCAGTTAAAGGACTCATTTGATTTTCAATATTGTTATTTTCCAATGCTGTATGCTGCTGAAGGACAACACGCACAGATTACCATTGTCATGTGTTTACGTAAAACGCCGCATTACGTCACGTCGCAGTCGTGCAAAAAAAGTGTGCTGCACGTGCAGCACACTTGTTTTTGTTTTGTTTATTAAACCTATTGCGCTTTTGACGCTCTCACTGCTGTCGCCGTCGTCGTTGCTAACGTTTCCTTTACTTTACCGTAACAGATGCTCCGTTAGGAAGGCTGGTCTCCCCCGCCGTATGAATTTGAATCACGCCTAGTTTTGGACTATTCACCACTGAACCTGAGGACAATAAACGTACAATAAATAGGCTTGCACTGGACACTCGATCTTTGTCTGGCAACTCAAGTCATTTGGCAATGGAATAGCTTATTACACATGGTAAGTTTGAGGTAAACTTCTTCTTTACTTGACAAATAGTTAATCTCAAGTATTAATACCATGAATGAAACGACTCATGCGTGAACTGCTAAAATATAAACGCCGTTTTTATTTCATCCTCATCGTGACTCATCGGGCCAGTAAGCGCATAAGGCAACAGCAGCTCAAAAACGTGGTTCTACGTTTATGTTGGTAACTTGAGGGGTCAAAACAACCCCAAAAGAATAAATTCAGTTTTAACATCCAACTGCTCAAGTTGAAAACCTGATTGCAAGGACTCCATCGTATTTTTTAATTAATTGTATAAAGCTGTTTCCTGTTGCCATTTGTTCAACGAAAAATAAATTACCAACGTTGTAGAGACAGAGGGGTTTAAAGAATCCTAAACAACCGTTGAGCACGCGCTTTGACAGCTCTGCACGCTCAACACCTTTGCACGTGCTTTAAAACGCACGTGTTTAAACTAGTGCAGAAAAACAATAACATCAACATCAAGAAAACGTCAGTCTTTAGGCCCCGTCCACACGAATCCGGACATTTTTAAACCCGCTTATTTTTTAATCCAGATTCGTGTGGACGGGTCCTTAAACCGGTTTCAAAAAGATGCTTTTAGGTGTCCAGATTCACTGGTTTCGTGTGGACGGAAGGTGCATTCGTTTATAAAAGTAAGCGGTTTCAAAAGTATCCGGATTCGTGCGGACGTAGCCTTAGCTTATCTTCTTGGTTAAACTCGGCTGAAATTCGTCGAGTAATCGCAACAAAACTTCGGCTCAGGGGGCGGACCAGCCCAGGCTCAAATTCGGCTGAAATTCGCAGGTAATCGGCCCTTAAAGCTCTACCAACTTTAAATATGTTTTAAAAAAACTGATCGATTTGCTAGGAATGGTTTTACCCTGGGAAGAATATGTCTTTTTTTGCATTCACAAAGTATCAACTCTCTCTCCTCCGAAAGGGCCTCTTTAGGGAGCTTAAGCTACAACGAGTGAATTCGCGCTGCTTCAAACGTTATCGCGTTTATTCCATCTCGTTTAATTCATCAAATGTTGGAAATTGCTTTTTGGGAGTTGAATTTTAGAGGACTGTATCAAAGTTCAGAAAAAGAATATGTGTTCCCGTCCTCGACAAAACGTGAAATTAGGCACTTTCACGTTGTAGTCGTGCAACAACGGCCGATAGAAATGTACCAAGAAGCGTGATGCATGTGCAAAGTTGTTTTTTTGCTACCTAAACCTATTGGTTTTTTGCCATTCTCGTTGCCGTCGCCGTCATCGTTGCTTAAGCTCCCTTTTTGTGTCGTAGGGAGGATGACGAGACGCGCGGGGCGACGATAGAAATCGAGGTGGAGGAGAGAGGCATAATGTAATTAACTTACTCCGCCCATTGCAAAGTACTTTCCCCTTCAAATCTGACGAACAAACGCAACATTGGCCATCACCATGAGAGAGCGAATAGTCGAACACTTCGACCAGCGGTATTCCACCTCGGACCTGCCGATCTCTGGCGTAATGAAGCGCGTCTAATATCCACCGCATTCCCTGCCATGTCTCGTCTAACTCCTACAAAAATATTCCATAAACATATCACACAATTGAATAGCCCATTTTACAGATACAGGTGACAACGAGGCTGGGGGACCCTTCCTGCTTTATTATGTGACCATGTTGTTCTCATGCAACTTAGCATTCTTGAATTCGAGTATTTTTTTAGCCCCGGTAGTGGGCAAAACTTTCATGCGCACTACCCTAAGATCCGCACAATTTGCTTTCCAAAACCTTGGAAAAATAATTCTGCCAGGAAAGGCTTGATTAACTACTTGCTTACTCACCCGCTGAAAATTTAAAAGCTGGTCCTGTCGAGCTTTAGCCAGCTGTACTTCACGAGCTGAAAATGCCTTGATTAAGAAGGAAAAAGAACGACAGATCATTAAGGGTTTTTTGAAACGTCGAACTTCACATGTGCCGAAGCTAATAATGCAAACGCGCGAGAAGGTTTAGGTCACAACAACTATGATATCAAAATCAGTAGCAAATAAGTAGCGAGTGTCGTAAAATTTTCAAGTTTCCATTGCACTACTGCAAAAGTTGCGTATTCAACTGACAAATTGTGCGCTACCTCTCTTAGTGACTGCTGTGAAATAACAGTGTCCATATCCAAAACTGACGAGAGTCGAGAATAATGACAGATAAATTCTTGCTGGTATGTGTACATGTGAACTGAAAAACAAACAAACAAACAAACAAACAAACGAAGTTATAGTCGTCTTTAGAATTTCCTCAATCAACTGTGAGGGGGAGGGGGACAAGGAGTGCCATAGCCTTTCGGTAGCCCCGATGATTTGTGAGTCTAAATATAAGCAAACCTACGGGAACGGGGGAGAAGGGGCCATGACCTTTTGGTATCCACACAATTTGCGAGTCTGGATGAAAACAAACCTAAGGCAGCAGAATGTTATTGTGGTTTTGTTAGTTCCCAGGATTATTTTGCTATACAGCCAAATCTTTCTACGACGGACATTGCGGCGACCGCAGCAGAGATGTCCCCCTAAATTGAGAATCACACCAACGAGCTTTAGGTGGCTGTTTTAGGGCGGTATCTATTACAGCGACTTTCGTATGACCTTGAAATGAAAACGCGCGGACAAAACAGAAACAACAAACGAACGGAAATAGAGCGATTTGATTGGTTTATCGAACGGATTCAAACGCGCGTGGCTTTTGGTTGGTTAAGCGAACGCCCGGACGAAAAAACTTCATGCCCGAAGAACTTTCTAGAAATCAATCGGTACTTCGCTTTGACGTCATACTGCAACACGACTGGCCAATCGAACAATGCCTTCTCCATACTAGGGTTTTCTTTGGTGGGAAAACGAAGAGTCCATGTTTTGACCTTTTCATCCATTGGCTGATTAAACATATAACGAACACGCAGCGAAACCAATCAAATTGCTCTATTTCCGTTCGTTTGTAGTTTTTGTTTTGCTCCCGCGTTTTCATTTCAAGATCATACGAAAACGGCTCTATTTTTAAGTTTTACTCAGTTTGGTGGCAGTACCCATCATTTGGATTCTGATAAATTTCGTGACACATGCAGCTCTTTTAACTGAGCAAAGTACCAACAACTTACTCATTTCAAAGGTTTGAACTGACAGAGAGATGTAGTTTTTCTGCGCTGAAAGCGAGTCCTGCTGCCCTGGTGCACTGCACACTTCCTCAGGAGGGGGAAACACGATAATAAATGAAACATTCTCGTCCAGTTCAACAACTTCACGGTCGTATATTCTGTGAAGTTGCGACGCCTAACAAACAGAGAAAGAACACGAAAAGACTCACCTCTGCAGTAAAGGCAACAAATCAACAAAAAAAGTCTTGTTTATATTTTAAGCAAGTCGAATGAGCGACTAAACAATTCGCTTCAGTTGTTCTGCTCAGTACGCTATGAAATGTGGCCTTTCACTAGTAAACTATTGATAAGTACTGGTTCTCTGTCTCTGTTTTTGTATTGGAAGTTTACAACCAAACATTTGAAGATGTAAATAATATCCTAAGGCGAGACAACTTATTTTTCCTTTCACTTTGTACAAGATGGCGTCTGTGTCAATTTTGGAAAGAAGTGGAAAAAAGTGTAAACGTAAAAGAAATTGGATCGGAATTTCGGCCATCTTGAATTTTAAATTAATAATCATGACGTTAATCGCTTGTCTAGAATGACCTTTTCGCCCTATGAAACAATAGCAGAAACCAAAACAAATAATCCAAATTTTGTACAAAAATACGCGACTTTCCTATAAGCTTCTTCTTTTCAATAGCTTGACAAAAAGAAACGAATTTTGACTTTCTTTCGAACAGTTTAAGGTCAATTTGTTCTAACAGCGAAGATTTTCTTCAATCATCTGTCAGTAAGCAGCATACCTCTTTACTGATTCCAACTTTTTCCATTAAAGACTCGGCGGCTTTGGCCACTAGACCTTGAAATTCATGCGCCGTTTTTGATGGATCTTGTATTCCCTCCTTTACAAAAAAAAAAGGTGTACTCTGATTATAAACATGCCAAAACCCTTTTCTATTAGTCTTCGTTGTTTTCTGTATTCTTTACGTCCCAGTTTCATTAGCCTGCGTGGCCAGCTAGAAAAGGAAAGGGAAGCTGCACGCGCGGGATCTAGAGGTGCGTGTGAGGGACGTGCCTTTCACGCTTCGCGCTCTCTCCGCGCTTCTCACGACTAAAAATCCCATTCCCCTTTTTAACGCCTGCCCCAAGAATGATTTCTTTCCTAATACGCAGCTTTGCTATTCTGTGTTCATCTGTGTTTTGTTTCTGGAGGCTTCTTATATAAAATTAGTTTACACGCACGCGATGATACATCTGGCACCGCTGACTTCGTGTATACACAAATGTCTTCTTTTGCGAAGGAAAGGCTAAGGGGTTTTCAGTTCTGAGCAATTTCCAGTTCAGTTCCTAATTTATCTACGCCATTCAGTTCTTTCAGCTGTTTCAAATGTTCGAAATTTCGAAAAAAAGTTGATGTGTATAAAAATACAAGCGCCTTTTAAACGGGCATACGCAAATCGAAATTGTTGTGAGGCAATATTGGCACATATTGGCACCATACCCCTCTTCTGGTAAACCAACTCACCTTCAAGGATTCTAGTGTTTGAAGCCACTGCCATTCCTCTCTGCGGACGGAAAAATTTCACGAGTTTGAATCACGTTTCAGGACGATTCTCAGTGCAGAGACCCTCTAGATTTGAGGATATACTCTCAAAAAAAAAAAAAAGATACCCTACGAAACTTTATTGTACATTTATTCACCAGAAAAGTTAACACGGTAACTTTCATTGAAGGAGGTTGAGCCCTCTCAAGATCGCAAAATGAATACACTTCTAACATGTGATAACATGGTTCTGTCACTACGCCTTTTTTCGCTAAACGAGGAAAGTGAAAAACCTTTCTTCTAAAAATGATTTTATTTGCATGAGAATAAAAAATGACTTTCATATCACTGGATTCGCACTTAGCCTCGCTTTGAAACAGAGGTCTGGGGCACTAAACACGGAAATAGCCTATTCCTTTACTTTCTAAGGTACCATTCCAAAAGCCTCATTTTAAAGATACGTTTTTTGATTGCTCACTTTTTTTTTCACTCAATTACATCTTGTGATGTCAGGCCCCTGCTTGAAATGATGAATAACAGAATAATTTTCAACTTTCTGGAGTATTTCAAATGAAATTAATAGCACTTTCCTCACCTGGATACGTTAGGGTTATCTCGTATCTTTACATGCGGAAGAACATTAGGACAGTTTTCCTGCACCACTACGTGAATCGCATCGACAAACGTTCTGAGCTTCAGATACCCAATGTAAAGACCCCTGGGTTAAAAAGGAAAATAACCAACTTATGACATTAGAATCTAGAAAGAGAAAAGACCATATGATCGTTTGCAAGAAACAAGATGTCGTTTCATTCAACGTCAATTTAGCTCAAGTTAGAAACAAAGGTTGTTGATTAACTGAAATTTATTTCACAAGTTCAATAGATTGTGATAATTAACTAATTCTCTTGATTTTCCCGATTTGCTCGACTTCCTTAAAGATTAACCCATAATTTTAAGCATGTCTGTTTAGATTTAAACCACACTACCCCCCTACCATCCCATCCCCAAACACAGCGCTAACAGATTTGTTTAGTCGACAAAACAACCTCAACGGTCCCTTTTCACTCTTGAAAAAATGGCCTTGAAACTCATTCTTTTCGGAACCTTCGTTGCTATAGTGATACATAATCACTCACGAATTAAAAAAAAGAGCTTTTTATTTCATATTAATTAGCGCCAGCGCGGTTTTTTTTAGTTTACCAGAACTTGTGTATGTTCGAAATCTTTGAGAAAAAATGCCACCTTTGTAGTATTGTGTCAGTTTTGCTTCCTCCCTTAAAATTTCGAGTCAGTAATCTCACCTTTCGAGGCACTTTTTACTGTTTTCAAAATACTGTATCTTTTCCTAAAAGTTAAAGGAAAAAAATTAATGAAGAATTGACTGTGAATTGCAACTACAGATGCCTTTCAAGACAAAAAAAATCTGGTCAAGACTGCACGTAACACATAACAGAAGCTCGTAAGTGACTTGAAACATGTAATCTACTATTTACTTTTGATCCTGGATCAAATTCGTATATTTTGCGCCAGTTAATTTCCTGAGCAATGCTTTTCACCGTGGTGAATGTGTAATTTCCTCATAATGTGCAACCTCATTCATCCCTACACGTTACGTAGAACTTTGTGTGTACTGACTGAGTGCGACCTGGGTATTTAATTAAGTAAGTAGCGGTGTACCAAGTACTTTAATCTAAGGTAAAACGGGCGACAAAAATGTGCAACTTGTTTTGCAACATTGCTGGAAAACGAGTTCAAAAGCGATGATGTGCGTTTTACCACCCACGCTCAAACCTTCCTTGCTACAAATTAGACTGTTGCAAGTTGTGTGAATACTGACATCTTATTGGGTAAAATTACGAGGGGGTCACGCCATACCCAGGACTTACGTCACTTGCTGCAAAACCGGTTTGCCTGCGCAACATGTACAGATTTTGTTCCAAGAAAAAATAGAACTGCTCTCGACTTTGCAACAACTTTTCGCAACCTGCCACAGCCTGGTTTGCTGTGAGACAGGTTTGATTTGCAGGCGGTACAACGCGCAGCATCGCTATTTAACTCGTTTTGCAGTATTTTTGCAAAACAAGTTGCACTATTTTGTAGCCCGTTTTACCGTAGCTTTATGCAGTGAGATTTGTTCTGACCTGAATGGAAGAGAGGAGCATCTCTGATGCAGAGAACAGCTCATCCTGTAAGCCTGCTTGCAGGGGACAAGTCTGTATCTTCTTTTGAAGCTTACTTAAAGACAACCACTTTAAAGACATGATGCGTGGCTTGAAGGAGCTTGCCTGCTGATCATGACAGTACATGAAGAAAATGAACTTATTTTACGAATGAATAACGGGTACATCACGTCGTAGTGTATGTACGTTCAATTTGAATCGTGCAGTTCAATCAATAAAACTACATTAATGCCGCTATTTGCCTTTTACAGGCTTGATTATCACCCAGCGTTTAAGAAATAAGAGGCGACTTTCAAATGAATATACACTTTAATGGTTGACCTCCTGCATGTTCAGGCGAAAGCGCACTAGGGCTGATCCATCTCTCGTTGATTCACTTGCTCTTTCGTTCGGTTGTTCGTTCGTTTATTCATTTATTAGGCCAGTCAGTCAGTATATCATTCACGTATTCATACACTCCTGCTGCATGCACAGGCGAAAACTTACTAGAGCTGATCCATCTCTCGTTGATTCACTTGCTCGTATGTTCAATCGTTCGTTCATTCATCCATCCATTCATTTATTCCGTCAGTCAGTCAGTACATCATTCACGTATTTATTTGTTTGTTTGTTCGTACGTTCATTCATCCATTCATTTCTTCCGTCAGTCAGTCGGTCTCCTGAGACAAAACGGCCACCGCGTGACAAAGGTCTATTGACCAAGCTTGTTCAGTCGAGATGGCTGTATATTGGCCTAGTTTTTTTTGAGGAGGGGGGGGGGGGGGGCGGGGAGAGACGGTTTTTGTGGCCAATATCCAGTTATTTTGACCCCACCCTTGGCCAATAAAGTATTTTTTTTGAGCCCCCCCCCCCCAAATTTCAATTCCCTCCCACCTTTACCCCAAAAAAATCTCTATTTATTTAAATTTTTTGTTTTCTTTGCTCTTCTGCTTCTCTCCTCCCTCCGTCCCCCGCGCACCGCGCGCCAGCGGACGAAACCCACGCGCCGCCGTAGCAGGATGTTGTCTTGTTTTGTGGGTGGGGGGGGGGGGGGGTTGGTTTGGGGTTGTTTGGTGGGGGGGGGGGGGGGGGGGGGGCGGAGGAAGACGGTTATTGTGGCCAATATCCAGCTATCTTGACCTCACACTTGGCCAATAACGTATTTTTCTTGAGCCCCCGCCCCCGAAATTTCAATTGCGTCGCAGCTTTACCACAACTAAAATCCTACTTACTATAACATAATTGACAGCAACAATCAGAGTACTGCCATTCCTGTCTTTGACCGGCTTGTGGTGCAGTCTTCCGAGGTCTTGCTTGCCAAGAGCTCCCTGAATACAATGACAAAAACACGCAACTTTCGTTCATCACTGGCGGTATGAATCGAGTACGAAAAAAATACATTGTGGAAAAACATTAAATGTAAAAGAGGATGGGTTACCCACAGAACATCTAGCAGCTAATAAGAACTTGCTTCATGAGAGGTTTTTTTTTTAGAGAGTGAGGAAATTCCCATAACTTGGGGTATAGCCGGCGATAATGGTGAGACGCAAGTGCTCTCACCAATGCGCCTCTAAGATTAAATCTTAAAAATCGATAAAAGCCACTGAATGGTGTCTGACTGTCTATGCAAGTCATGCAGTATACTGGTAGAACTCAGTGTGAAAGTGCATGAAATCCGAAAGTACTACTTATCAACTAGAGGTAATCTTTGATTACGGACCCACGTTCGTCACTTACGGAAAATTACGGAAACGAAATCGAGTCGAAAGGAGTCCAGTTTCCCGGCGGAGGTGCCCCTGATAAAATTAATAGGGGCGGCTAATTCGCAGTCGCCCGTGATAGCTCGAACATTTCTGCCTTAATGCCACAGGAACAAAAGATTAGGATGCGTTCTGACGAACGCGAAAACGCCCCATGCACCAAATTGAACTTTTGCTTAGCGATGTAGACAACAATTTGATAAAATGATGAACAAACCGTTGTAGACATAAACCTGCTCCTCAAAAGAAACACGCCCCGTAAATTAACAGTTACCTGAAGAGTATCAGCAGCTTGGAGTAGTTTACATCTAAACAGGACTGACGTTGATGATGATTTTTTCTCAATCTCATGTTTTAATTTCTTCACATCCTTCCACGTACATGCAACCTGAGATAAGGTAATCATTTACAGCCTTGTAAGTGGTTCATGTGGCTTTCTTTTTGTTTTATTTGTTAGATGGTGTAGCAGAGCCAGTATTGATATAAAAATTGGAAACCTATTGATGTAAGAAAATTTGATTATGACCGTACGTCCGTACAGACTTTGGGGGAGGGGGAGAAGAGACTCTCTAAGGGAGGGGAAGAGAGTCCGAGACATGCGGCTTGCATTTGTTTTGACGTAAAATAGCCAACTAATAACCAAAGCAGTTTTTCCTGTAAATTTTCTGGCGTTTCTCTTATGACAAAAGGAGGGGATGGAAAAGGGTGCAGACTGTTTTGTTTTCTAAATGTAATGTTGAAGGCGTTATGCGTGGGAATACAGAAATGAGATGGTGAAAAAGCAAGGCATCGTGTTACAAGCATAGGACAAAACAATAATCCACAAGGACAACAGCTGATGGCAGTTTGTTTTCGTAAAGTTTGTACCTTCATGAGCCAACAGAAGTCTTGAAGAAAAGTGCTGGGGTGATTGTCGTCCACTTCAATTATCGGGATATTTTCATCCACCGTTACAAGAAGCTTTTCATCATCAGTGAATAAAAGGGAAGCCAGGTACACACCTCTGACATAAAAAATGAGAGATTAGTTTTTTTCTCTGGTACACTGCACAACAAAGAGGCCTTCCCAACCCATCAGTTACCCTCCAAACCGACAAAGGGTTGACCACGCCATCCGCAGTCTACATACCCTTTTTTCTGACATCCCACGAGAGTCAGGATCAGTGAAAATGCTAGGGCACCTAGCTTTTCATCCTTACCCGAGAAGAATAAAGTGTCTAATCATTTACAGATGCAGGGCAGGGGGTTTGTCTGTTGCAAGGTTACCTCCATTGGTTTATCGCTAGTTATACCTAGTTATACCTCTGAGTATAACACAGCATCTGATAGGACTTCCCTTAGAATTATGTTGCAAAGACACACTTGTGAACCTGCGTGGACCTAGTCTATGAGAAACAAAGACAGCGCAATCACACCCCACCCTCCAGATACGAATTCCGCAATTTGAACCCCAAGACCACCATGACATCCTACCTTTTCAAATGTCTAGCAAATTTTGGCGCTGAGTGGAAGAGTAAATTGGTGTATTTTGTAAGGCTCTTTTTCATGGCTGATTTCCTACTTGTCCTTGGGGAAACTCCACCATCAGACCCTGCATGCAAAAAAAGCAAACATAAAATATTAAGTGCAAAAAAACTTTCGTCCTTTCGTCCTTCAAATTCTATCCTTGGATGTTATATGTTACATTTGACACCATAACCTCATGATTATGACAAATTTTTTATTAGTTAAGAAAGAGTGACATAACTGTTCCAACACTGTAGGCCACTTCAACATATTCAGCCTACTTCCCAAATTGGCTTTAAAGGCTGTAATGTACTTTAGAGAATTATTACTAAATTTTAATATTATCACAAGCTGCGCTTCTCACCAGTTTCATTGCCATATGTGTTGCTGCGAGGTCTGTGGGGTAATATTGGTTTCACTGGCGAAAACTCCTCATGACTTTGCCACACCCGACTGAATAAATCGTCTATTACATTTAGTCGACCTTGGAAGCGAGGTTTAGAATCATCTACTTCATGCCATGCTGCAAAGACAATGTATAATTAAGTAAGAAGACTGTACTCAAGTTAGAATGGTATGTGAAAAAGCTGTGATTGTTATGCTTCCAATTATTGGAGGCATATCATAAAAATGGGAAGGACACAGAGAAAAGGAAGAGAGATGGAGCGAAAACCTCAAGGTAAAAAACACTTAAAATTGGTCATACATCACGTGGGTCATGCCAATCGAGAGTGGTATCCCCCTGAATTATGCCAATATACGTCAACTAACGTTGTGTAGAACTACTTAAGTTTGTAGTTCTAACCTTTTTATTGGTACTGACATTACCACTGACATTAATAACTCAAGAAAGTACCAGTGCTGCTGCTTTACAATTTGTGCACACATGGATGAATAGTGAATTAGTTACACTTCTCTTAGTGGTTGGCATTATGTTATAACAATATAAAAGTAATACAAATATTAAGCTTACTTGATGGCATTGCACAGGGTGGACTGGATTCAAGCCATGAACCATAACTCTTAAGATTTCCACAGCAAACTCGAACATAGTATGACACAGACTAGAAAATAATAATAAAAAAATAACTATAATAAATAAATGAACATTATACATCCACGATGGATAATGTAACCTACCCACACAAATCACCATCACTGAAAATGTATCTAGGCAAGCAATTTCAAAAGTCATTTTGCGGTGACTTGTTCTTTTTTTTCAATGACAGCATTGAAAGTTATAAAGATACATTTTCCGAGAAATTTCTTGAAAAACTATGTGTTTGAGACAGAGAAAACTGATAGCAAATGAAAGGGCACTAAGTATCACTCTGTGGTAGGCAGGAGTTCTGTTGTAGCCATCCAACATTGACAGGCTAGAAACAACAATGTTGGGAAATGTTCCATGTGTGATAACAGTAGTGTGCAAACAGACGCAACAAAATTAACTTTCAACAACATGCAACACGGTAAGCAAACGGACGCAACATCTAACACCAAACAGTGTTGGGAGTTGTTGGCCAACAATGTTGCATCCATTTGCACAGAGCATTCTATATGTCTTACATTTAAGGTGGTACTCTAAATAAGGACATGAACATGTTATCATGTAATAATAATAATAATAATAATAATAATAATAATAATAATAATAATAATAATAATAATAATAATAATAATAATAATAATAATAATAATAATAATAATAAGAAAATAGGCTGGTATTAATATTCAAAGCAAAAGTTTTAATCAGGAATCAGCCTATCATGCTTTGTTTAAGAGGAACCAACCAAGTGCAAGAAAAGAGTCACTCATTAAAACAAAAAAAAAACGTACCATTCCCTGCTAGCTAAAAATGAAACTGATCAATTGATAAGCGCTTACCTTTTGTAAATTACAGATAGTGTATTCTAGTGACCGAACATCACGGAGTACATATTCTCCTTCCAGTAACCAAAAGTCTGGGGACTTGCTCCATTGAACTAAACAGTAAAGAAAGACCCAAGTCAAAGCAAAAAGTTTAAGACGGAATCCACCAGAAAATTGAGTAATTTTAATTCTAAGTGGACAAAAATCTTGTACCAGAATAATTTAAAGAATATTGCATTCTTTTTTTACATTTTTCAAGGCCTGAAGATGTAATTAGTCATCTGTAATAACACCAAAGAAAAGTTCTCATGGGAGTCCAAGAAAATGAATGTCAAATTTCAAAAGAATAATGAAAACACACTTAAACTTCTGAAAATCTCATGTGTAAGATGCAATTTTGGGGGTTGCAGAGGCCACAATCACCTGCTATTCATACTCACTTTTATATTTGGATACAATGACCTTTTCATCTAGTGGTTCAATAAATCTAACAAGAAGAGAGTCTTCAGAAGCAACTGATATTGTTACACTGCTTGGCTTATCAGGTGGACCTAAGAAAACACAAACACAAACAAACAAACAAAAATACAAAATATTACTTGACATATCATTATTTTGTATGTCAACATCAATATTATTAGCCTGCATCGCAGATATAATCTAACTCCAGTTAGTAATGTCTGCAAAGCAGCACTGAAATCCTTGTTCCGGGTCCCCTACGGACTCCGTGAATTACATTAATGAAAACTGTTGAGCAACATTTCATCAAATCTCCCATTTCATTAAACAAAACTCAATCTCGCTTACACTGTCTCAACAAAATTTTAGAAAAATACAATAAAAAAGTTTTGGTGGGTATTTTAAGAGAGAGCTTTCTTGCAATATATGTATTATTGTTAGCATTACTAAGTGCTGTGAGGTACAGAGCTGTACTGTACTTTACCTGGTACAATAGGGCTAATTCACCAATTCACACTCACCTAACAATAATTATCAGATAGTTATGAACTTACTCATGACTTTCTTCAAACCACAAAAGGTATTAGTACCTATTTTTGAGAGTCCTTTCTTCATCTGTTCTAGTAGGCGTTTTCTCCATAACCACTCTTGAAAGAGTCTTTCATTTTCCTGTAAATTAAATTATATCACAAACAAGGATACTTATTTAAATAGACATTTTATATACTAATTTGTTTGTAGTATATGAAGTACTGCTTAGGACTACTGGGTAAATAAGTCAATCTCACATGCACAGTGTTCTCCTTATCAGGTGTTAACCAGTAAACTTTACCGCTTGAAGCAACACTTCTTACCGCCTGCAACTTCTTGAGGGTTTACTAAAATTAAATAATACGCAAGTTGTAATCCGATCAAGGAAATGAAATGAATATATGGAAAAGTACTAAAGTATACACAGCTTTCTTTTTACGGGCCACGCATTTTAGAAAGAGAACATTGAAGACAGATCAAGTAAAATTATTGGGATCACACGTTTTAAGTTGTTCTCTAAAGATTACAACGGCCAATTTGCGTAAAATAGGTCTTAAAATGAGTGAATGACGTTTCAAAGAACTTAGCTCCTCCTGGGGTGGGGCCACGTCCCTCACTCCACTACCCACTCCCTCCCCACCCCTCCCCTAACAAAAGTGCACCTTTGGGCATATTTTTTCCTTACCGGGCATGAATGGTCCCTTACCTGTTGAGCTAAAATTTAGGGAGAACACTGCATGCATATTAATCAAATACTGTTCAGAGTCATCTTCAGAGTCAAAGTGAGTTGTATCATGTCAGTTGATGGTATTAAGCTCTGTTTTTTAATACCATCAACTGAAGTGATACGACCACTTTGACTCTGAAGATGACTACCATGCAGATTGCCGAAACCTCAGTCAATGTCAACAACAGTCCTATTCACCTACTTATGAAAGGACTACTGGTTTCAAACCTTTCACAGCTATGTAATGTGTCCTTGATTGAGACTAACCACATTAATACTTTGTTTCATCTAACCTAAATGGTGATTTAGCCGGACATATGTCCTTCAAAAATTATTTGCACTGCTGCTGTTGCTTAGGTTGTAACTGACCATACATTGACATTGTTTTTGAGAGAGCAAAATAACATGCATACAGTGGAACCTCAACATGACAAGCCTCTATATAAAGAAGCAAAGCTTGCAATAAGCACCGAAGACCGACAAAATCATGTGTCAGCTGCTTTTCTCAGCAAAGACGGTTGTTATTATCGCAAAAGAAGGGGAAACTATAAAGTTTTAATAAAGTCGCAAAAAAATATATCATAAAATCTCAATGAAAACGTAATTATGATGTGTTTCCTAATTTACGAAGAACCACGGGATTTATGGTATGCTTTAGTTAGTTTATCTTTCAGTCAATAATTTTCATGTTTCTACATAGATTTATGAATTATTGTTAATTGCTCGAAGGAATTGATTGGCTTGGCTGGTAAATCGAAACTTGAATGAAAGCTACATTTTCTTGGATGAAAAATACGCTTGTTTGTCTAGCACACTGTAAATCGCATTTTAGGGCTTTGAAGTTTCAAAATAATGGCCCTTTTTTGATTTACTCAGTTACTCTGGTCAAATCTGCTGGTGACTTCAATTTAACAGAAAACCCTGAGGAATTCCTCAGTATAACAAACAATTTCCTTTACCTCAGTAATAGTAAAATATATGAAAAAAAAAAACTCCAAAATAACTAAACTTCATCATAGTGAACAAATTTTGCCAACCCCTTGGCCCTTCATTATATAGAGTTTCTGCTGTATTATGTTGTTTTTGTTACCTTTACTTCAGAAGATGTAGTATAACTGACATGAACCA